TTGTCAAGTTTCTTAAGAAATAAATAATGGACAAATGGAGTCTTTAAACGCCTCAGATGTAAAGTTATTCGCTGTCAAAGTGACGCCAAAATGAATGGGAGTCAATGGAAATGCTAACGCAAGTGAAGTTCTGCTACAACATGGCGGCACCCGGCCGGCTTCAACTTCCGGTCGATGGATTACCCCCTTGGTTCTAATCTACTACATCTGATCTGTCGATTCGAATGGTTTCTGGGTTAAAGTGAATCCGGCGTCTGTCACCTAGTGGTGCGGATGATAAACTGCAGATAAGTTTCTACCATGAGTCGTATATTATAGTACCACTACCAACCGACTCAAAGTTGCTTCAAATGGGCTCATTGACTATATTCCGAAACGACACATACATTCGTTAACATTTTCATACTCAAGCAAAAGTCCATATTCATTGTTACATGTGTTTAAGGCAATTAACAAATAGGTGGTCGTCAGCTCCCTCTTGTGGTCAATTAGCTTGTCATCATCATCCTTAAATGAAACGACAAACCCAAGGTGGTCAGTCAAGGTGAGAGGACTGAGATTTAAATTAATTTATGTGAAGACAAAATTATGATTTTGTCAAGGTCTCGACCAGCTAACAGCATAGTTTCAGTAAATTATCCAGATTAGCTTGCAAATGATGGGGTAAGACGACATATACAATGTCTGATGTGTTCAACTCAGTCACATGCCCAATGTATAAATTGTATTTTTTTTTTTATCCCTTAAAGCATTTTGAGAAAGAGGAGAGGAGCAATGTGTGAGAAGAGAGACGCCGGCATTGTCATAAAACGAAAAGTAAAAATACACTAGTTGCACCCCAAATCATAACAGATAATCTTCACACAATTCTTAAAGATTATACCTTCTTCCAAGGTTTCTGGTTCAAATTCCAAAAGGCAATGATTTTTGTGATTTTTTTATTGTAATATGCACTTTTATTTTAAAAGTGTACAATTTTTGTCAAGAGTGCAAACTGAACAAACTTTTCACATAGGCAATGTCCTAGTTCTTAGCATTTTACTTAACAGAAAATGATTTTCAGGAGCATGTACTTTAATGTGCTTCAGATAATTAAGCATGTGTCAAAGATTGTAACCCCATAGCTTTTTCCAAATAGTACATATAAATAACTTTCACCGTTTTTGTTTTATTTCCCAAATATTCTTTTTTTTTTTTTCATTTGTGCTTTTTATTTAAAACATTGTGTGTTGTTGGACATTATTAATGCCTGTAGTACAAAGGAATTTAGAGACTGTAAACAAGTTCAAAACATTTACACATTCAATTACTCTCTCTCATTTAAAAATAAACATGCATACACAACCTCAGTAGATTCAGATTGATTTCTGAATTGATTGATTGTGTACGTTATCACTTCACTGTCCCATGATGTGGAGTTCACAGTGTCCTCTCGTGTTCTCAAAGAGAACTGCACCAGGAATGTCCAACTGCTGTGTTGCTGGAGATTTAAATAATTACATAGCAGGTCACAAAAAAAAAGGTCCACCTCCAGTGGAAGGTCATGGAATCCACTGGAAATCACTTTATGCTTGTCTTCACCCTTTTGCAAAAGACAAAACAGATAAAATTTTTTAATGAATGTCAATGTGAACACATTTATTCAAGGAAAGAGTATATTCTTATAAGACATGATAAAAATTCCCAGCATTTAACCCACCATAAACTTATAGCCAGCTAACAATTTTTGGTTCCCAAAATGTTCTGGGAACATATTCAACCTTAAAAATAACCAATAGAGAACGTTTTGTATATGTTCTTTTTATGTTATTAAAAAAAAAGGTATAAAGTATAAAATAAGTATAGAAGTATACGTATCGAATTTTACACACACACACAAACTCCCTGCAAGGTTCTGGGGAGGTTAGTTTATGGTCATAAAAATAAAACCTAAAAATCATTAGAGAAGCTTATGTATAGGTTAATTTTTAGGATATTACAAAAAAAAAACTTCCCTGCTACTTTCTAACTTACAGAGAATGTTTCCTGAACACTGTGATATGGGAAACGTTCTGTTTTTTTTCTGGGTAAAAAGCTGCTTTGCTCACGTTTGAATCACTGACAGTCGTTTGTTCTTTTGTGGCCAAATCTTCATCTTTTAGAGTCTCATTCAGTATAAAGTGATACTGGGTCACGTTTAACCCCTGGGAACAAACACACACACACACACCCACACAAATTCCATGACACAAGAATGAGATACTATATACTTAATAGCACTTGTAACCAAGGCTTTGTTGTGTGTTTGTATGATACCATTGACTCCTTGCCCGTTCTTCTGAGGTATTCTTGGATTGCGCTGTCTGTCGGAGCAAACACAGTAGCCCGTAGACTCCTCCATTTCGTTAATCAGGTTATGTTTCTGGCAGAGAGAGAGAGAGAGAGAGAGAGAGAGAGAGAGAGAGAGAGAGAGAGAGAGAGAGAGAGAGAGAGAGAGAGAGAGAGAGAGAGAGAGAGAGAGAGAGAGAGAGAGAGAGAGAGAGAGAGAGAGAGGCCATTCACTTCACTGCCATTCACAAACTCTCCTGTGGCCTCAAAGGATAGCAAAGTGTCCATTGTATGCACACTTCAGAATCTCACAGGAAGAAGTAGGTCATCTGGGTACTTTTTACCTACTCTTTTATGAGTACTGTGAATTCGGACATCCTAGTCACATAATATTTTTTTGCCTTTTGTATAGTAAGGAAGTGTGATTTTGGATGCAGCCAATCATTTCTAGCAAACGATAGGCCTATGGATTTTATAAGTGCAAACAACAACTTTAAAGATGTATAGTGTGTAATTTCTGTTGTTTCTTAACAGGTGTTTTGAACACTATCACTGCCATTGTTCAAATAGCGCCACCGCGTTTACAGCAAATCATCCTTTAAATGGCTTATTTGTAGTTGTCTTTATACATAAAACTGGGACAGTATGGATTTCTGACATAGAAATACCTTTAAGACAGAAAGGTGTATCTGTTACAGCTATGGTTGGTCAACACAAGTGGAGATACGGCTTACCTTATAAATACTGGTTTCTTTGGTGTCACACCTGTGAGGGATGGGCTCTATGGACGGGGGGATCAGCCCAGCAGACCCTCCAGAGAATGAAGACGGACATTCGGACATTCCCCATTGTCCAGGATCTCCAAAATCAGTGGTTTTATAATACAAGCATTTTGACCCCTAAATCACAATTAAAATGTCTCAATTTCATTGTATTATTTTCAGTAACATTATTTTTAGTTGTCATTTACTCTCAAATAGGTATGCAACGATTACAGATTTTCTAAGTACGATTATTGTCTGAGAAATAATCACGGTTTAACGATTATCACGATTATTATGCATCAATTAATTTCACAACACTACTAATGTATAATATCACATGAACACTCAGCACTAGATTTTAATGTGTTATTTATTGCTGCCACAACACAGTACAAAATTATAAAATGGCAAACAATAATCAATCTCTTCCTTTGGAATTAAAGAGAAGTGCTTTGTAAACATCCAGCATTTTTCTTTTAAAAATAACAAATTAAGTCAAAGGCTGCAGGACTCTTTGATTGAAATAGATCACAAAATTATTAAGGTTTTCTTTGTTCTTATTTTTATTTTCAACCTGAGGTAGAAAACTTGATAACATGAAAACAATATCTTGTTGGTATTTGACTTAAAAACATAAATAAAGGGATAATAAATCCCAATGAAAATAAAAATAAACAAAGTATTTGGCTGGCTCTGTTGAATTAAATACAAGCTAAATATTAGGCCTATGTATTTCTTTTAAAAGAAAACAAATATAGTTCAAATGTTATCCACCAATATTATTGTACTTATTTTAATACTCTTTTTTAAATTATTAATCCAAATTTTACATGTGCCTTTAGAAAATCATCTATTATAATCTCATTATTTTGGTTTGTTTGTTTGAAGTTTAAGTAAAAATTATAGAAAGAAACTGAGAACATCTCTCTCATGCAGTGTTATTAATAACTGAAATGCAGTTAATTGGTAGTCCTAGAAGTCTACATGATCTTATGTTAGTGTTTTACACCGGGCATATTAAAACTACAAAGCCTAACATTTACTCAACACAGACAGGAGAAAGCAATAGGATATTAAGTTAAATGTTCACTGAAACTCTTGAGAGCACGCCACATTCGGTTTTCCACAGACTTGCGTAACCAAAACATTCCGCTGTTTTTTTTTTGTTTTTTTTTTACGTTGCACTGAAAGCTGAAAGTTGCACGCCGCGTTCTCCTTTTTCCAAAGCGCTAGGGCGGTTGCGCTCCGGAGGCGTCTGTCGTTGCTGTGTTAGTTCTTGTCACTTGCCCCACGGTGCGCTTGCGGCATTCTGAAAAGTAGAGATGTTTTTATCTAGATGCGGCGCTGACGCGCTTGGAAAAAACTAGCGCGCCGCTTCCATTATGAGCGCGCATACCGCGCGCCTACATTTGAAATAACGAACTTGAGCGCGCAAAAGACGCGATATGTGAACACGCACTTAAATCGGTGGAAATAGAGCGTCGCTGCTTAGTCCCTCTGCCATAGTGGTTGACAAGCACGGCACTTTAAGCTGGTGCACCGCTGGTGTAACTTTGTTTTCGTTTTGTGTTAGGTGCAAAAGTTCCGTAGCCTACTTTGTAGAACACTCGGTGTAGCATAGTCTTTACGATTAATTAACCGTGACGTTTTAAAGCGCGGTTAATTGTGAAATCCGGTAATCGCTGCATCCCTACTCTCAAATTCACACAGGTGTCCTAGTAGAGTAACCACAAGTGTAGTTCATCACATGAACATTAACCATTAACATTTGACCACCAGTGATGGGAATAACGGCGTTATAAATAACGCCGTTACTAACGGCATTACTTTTTCCAGTAACGTGTAATCTAATTGATTACTCTTCTCATCTTAATAACGCCGTTACCGTTACTGCCAAAAAATGCGGCGCGTTACTATAACTGATGAAGCTGTTTTTTGTTTTTTTTTTCATCAGACCAACTAGATCTCTGAGCGAGAGGCAAATACTTTTTTTACTGTTCTTCCTTGGTTAGTGGGCAGAGCACGAGACAAGCGCATAAATGCTGACGATTGGCTGAGGTAGAGTAAAATGTCATTGTAAGCCAATCAGAGGTAGAGTTGGGCGGGTGTTCGAAAGCACGCATAGTAGTGATGGGCATTCGGCTCTTTTGACTCAGCTCACTGAAAAAAGCAGGCTCTTTTGGCTCACAAACGGCTCTTTAAATGACTTTGACTATAATATTTCAATTTTTATTACATAATTATTTAATTTCTATAGGCTAAATTTGTAAAAATAGAGTCGGCTCTTCAGATATGCGAGCCAGCTCCCGACGTTCACCTAAAAGAGCCGGCTCTTAGAGTAACTAACTCTTAGAATCGCGAACGACCCATCAAGCTCATTCGCGAACGAGTCGATCCATCATCACTAACGCTCATTCGCGAACGACCCATCATCACTAACGGCTAACGCTCATGAATTGCGAACGACCCATCATAACGCATAGTCGGACAGGACAGGACACACAAGGAACAACACAAGCCAGTCAGTCAACGAGAGACAGGTATGGCGACGAGCTTAACAAGCTTAATTTAATTTTGCCCAGTTGTGGCCTGTTGAGGGGCAATAAATATCAAAAGTTCCAAAACATCTATTGTGTTATTTGCATTGATCCACTATATAAACATAATATCTACATACATGGCATTTGATTGGAGGCTAGTCTCACTTTGTCCCACAGCAACATTTTTTTTTTTTGATGTGTGTACAATGTTTCATGTTTCTGTTAATAATGTATTGTATTAAGTGTCCATTTTATTATAATATTCAGATTTATCATAAATAATTGAACATGCACATGTATTGTAAGTTCCGTTAAAGAGGGGTAGAGGTCGGGTCACATTTGAGCATTTAAAATTTTATTTTACTTGAAAGTAACGCAATAGTTACTTTTTTAAGTAACTAGTTACTTTTAAAATTTGTAACTGAGTATCTAATTGAGTTACTTTTTGGCAGAAGTAACTAGTAACTGTAACTAATTACTTTTTAAAAGTAACTTGCCCAACATGTGTACAAATAGGCAAAATGGTTTTGTTACCTTTAGGAATAGTATAGTACAATTTTATTTTGTGCTGTCTGTCTTCCAAATTAATCCCACTTTGATTCACATTTTATTATCTAATAATGCAATGGCATTCATGCAGTGTTTCTTAAATGCACAAATACTTGTGATGGCCCCTGAAATAAACTTGCTGAAATATGCTATTACTTAATTAAAGACACATGTGGATTTAGGAGTATGCCTGAGCAATGCACTATATTTTCTTTTTAATTAATGATCAGTACTCACAGCAGTCGTCACATTAAATGTCAGGACCTGGACTGCGTTTCCCAAAAGCATCGTAAGCCTAAGTTGATCGTAGAGACCATTGGTGGCAATTGTTCTACGATCAACTTAAGCTTACGATGCTTTTGGGAAACCCAACCCAGGTCGGCCATGGTCACAGCACGAGGGTTCGACACAATGAAGCTGGCACTCAGCTGTACACGATACAACAGACAGTACCTAATCAATGATGATCTAGAAATGGATTTGAACACACATATATTCGCACACATATCACACACAAACCTGAGAAGTGGACACTATGTAATTGTGCATCAGTTCAAGTAATTTTGTCTTACCCTAAATTGGGATAAATGAAAAGAAAATGTTATGATGGTTTTGTGACTGGACAGAAAATAATTAAATTATATATTTGCATTGTACCTCCTCAGAAATAAGAAAGTCTAAATAGCCAGGCTTTAGGAAGGTAAAGGATATTTGTTGGAGCAAATAGCGTATAAGGTCCTTCTTCTTCTAAAACTTTAGCCACATTGGTTTTCTGAGAAACAGAAATATCAAAGGGGTCAGAAAAAACCCCCCTAAATAAAACAACAAAGAATCCTGAAAAAATAAATCAATTTTCACAAAAAGATTAAGCAGTATACAATGGTTTTCAACACTGATAATAATAAGAAATGTTCTGAAAGATCATGTGACTGAAGACTGGAGTAATGGCTTCTAAAAATTCAGCTTTGCTATCAAAGGAATGAATTACATTTTAAAATATATTCAAATAGAAAACACTTATTTTAAATTGTAATAATATTTCACAACATTACTGTTTTTACTGTATTTTTAATCAAATAAATGCAACTTTTGAGAGTTTATGAGACCTCTTTCGAAAACATTACAAAAATCTTGTGAGCAAATATTTGCCCTATAATAAAAGGCAATAAAAATATCAAATGTCTTAAAGCGCATGAATTTAGGGTGTAATCGACTTTAAAACTCTGTACCTCAAGCAGAGACTTAAACTGAGAGAACTTTCCATTTTTTGAGAGAATCTGCAACAAGTTTTCCTGAAAATAAGAGATAAACAAATTGGCACGCCTAACAAACAAAAACAACATAAAATATAAACAACTCCAATTTGCATGTTAAATCAGTGTATGACATTTATATAGCACAAATTTCCAAGAAATCCGTCAGCTTCACAAACCTCTTTCTCTTTTAAAGGAACTGCATCCATCAGCTTATCAACCAAATGAATTATTCCATTTGAGGCAAAGATGTCTGGCTCCACAAGCGTTCCTTTCTTACGGCATACCATGGAGACGGATTTTTACCTGCTCTGCCTTTTATAATAAAAGTTTGCCAGTTTGAGACACAATCTAATGATTCTCTGTCATCATCACACACACACACACACACACACACACACACACATCCATAGCACATAGTTTTCACCAAAAAAGAGTGTTCAGTGCTGACTCTTACCGAAAGGCAATTGTTCTCTTTCATATGGTAAATATTTCATGTGGCTTTTTTTAAAAACAGTAAAGCTGGAAAACACGCTGGATCTTAACACCTGTCACTGATTTCCAAGGAGATTTACCTGATTCGTTCATGACTTTACAGCTGGCCAATGACATTCTCATGATTATTTTACCCAGCATTCCACGGGACATGTCAAATGATACATGTCAAATCAGGGAATTTCTAACTGAGGATTTGCTTATAATTCATGCATCTTAAAGCAATACATTTACTACATTTTACTACTGCAACCACAGAAATGTAAACATTCACTGCAAAAAAAGACTTTTCTTACTTAGTATTTTTCTTGTTTCCAGTCCAAATATCAAAAAAATCTTACATCAAGATGCATTTAGATGAGAAAAATGACATAAGATATTAAATCTTGTTTTCTGGGGAAATAAATAAAAAATAAGTGAATTTTTGCTTAAAACAAGCAAACTTATCTGTCAATGGTCTAAGAAAAATAATCTTGTTTCGGTTTGAAAATGTTAAAAATGTTATATTGCACTAAGACTTTTACAAGCAATCACATAATATGCATGTTGCATGAGTGTGAATCTCACCTGTGATGTTGCACCAGCCACCCAGAGTACTATCTCAGTCCCCAGCAGCAGGATCAGACCTCCACAGATTGAGTTAAGATGAACTTCATGGTAATAATACTTCCTATTTCTGTCTTACTCTGAGGTCCTTCACCAGACTGTGGCCACACATGCTGGCCTTCTGCCTTTTCAACAATCCCTCCCTCTCTCTTTCCTGTACCACAGCAAAGAGGTACACGACCTTCCCCTAAAAATTCGGACACATAGGCCTACCTAAATCCATTTCACATTACACATAAATCCTTCACACTTTCATTAACATGTATAGACCAGAGAAAGACATTAAACAAAGATGTTACATGATGTGTGCACTGCAAAAAAAAGCACATTTCCGTTTTTTTTATTGTTTTTCATAACAATTATCTACACATTCTTAACCTTAAAAACTCTCCTCATTTATAAAAGCATCCCCTCCAGGGGATGTGATCAATATAGCCTATTTATGCAGTTTTTTGAGGATTTTTAATTGTTGGCATTTTTTTATTTGATTTACCTCTAAATTATGAATGTGTTGGTCTTAATATAAGTTTAATTTGAATGCATGTTTGTCCCAACAGGCTCGTATGGAGTTGGGTGAGAAGCAAAAGCGAGAAAGAATCAAGTACACTCGGGTTTTTGTGAGATTGAAAGGACTGTGTTAAGAATAAAAAGGACTTTAGCATTTAACTGAGCATATTTAACATATAGGCTACTTAAAAAAAAACAAGGTTAGACATAAAACATAAAAGGCAGAAGAACAGAAACGCTTACGCTTAGACAGGGTAAAACCATTTTAAATAAAAAACTTCAATAAATTAATAATTTAAATCTATCTTTTATTATTAGTGGAACTTATATATAGATTTTAGTTGGATTATTCATATATAAATAATAATTTAGTAATATTTTTAAGTTATTCTGCAAAATTGATCTCTTGGCCTTGTTCCAGTGGGACAAACTGAAAAAATAGCTACATTAACAAACATTAAATCGTTATTTTTAAGCATGGCTGATACAACGTAATAGATAAATTGAAAACCTTCCCAAATTGTACATTTTCCTCACATATCCCACACATGAATAATTAAGTAGGTCGATTTGCATGCAGCGGGTCTTCTTCGTTGGTGTTTAGAGGACCACGCGACAGGCCACGCCCACTCTGATGCGTTCCTCCTGACCTGAGCAGAAGCACGTGATTAGGCGTGTTTACCTATGATACAATGTAGCGTCTATGAGACCATCATCAACCTCAGCCGAATAATCAATTACACGCTTACGTTCAGGATCAGAATCAGTTATTGGATTTACATTAGGGTCTTCGCTGACAAATAACTGCTCGATGCATCTGAGAAAAGGGAATCGGAGTGTGTAGCCTGCGGGCGAGCGAGTCAAGCGGAAAGGTAACACGATTAATATATTGTTAGTCTTTACACATTTTACGTTGTTGTATATGCATTTTAAACGTTTTTAATTGTATTTCAATTGCCTTGAACGCATGGCAGCCAATGTAAGTGAAATGCAAACGCTGTCAGTGTAGTTTAATAGGTCGCTGTGGCTTTGAGGAAGTTGACATTGAGCGTGAAATACTAAAATACGACTGTGGAAGTGACCTACAGTGTTAGTTGGACTATTAGTCAATATCTTCAGACGACGTTTTCACTGCATGTTACATGATCTGTGCCTTTTCTATGCCAGATTGCCAAATCACATGGAATGCTGTGTCGGGCTGTGTCTCAAAACCTAAGAGCTGCCTACTACCTAGACAGCATTTTTAGGAATCATAGGATCCCAAGAAACGTTACAATTACACGTGGTGCCCAAAATGTTGTCAGTCTAGTCCGCTGGCTATAGGTTTTTGAGACTTTGTGTTGTTTAGAGATATTTTCTATGACTGTTACCGAGATGTAGCCTACAACACATTATTCGAGATGTAGCTTACAACACATTATTGTTTTAAATGTTTGATTTATGACAGTGTGATGATTAAATAATTTTTATAATACACCAATTAAATATTAAATGTGAATATTCCTACAACAATAATGATGACAATAAACCTAATAATTACAAACACAATATTGTTGTTGATGAATAAAGTATATTAATTATTACCATTAAATATACCATTTATCGGTAGGCCTGATATTTCAAAATGTAAATATCAGTTAAAAAAAAAGTGATAAAACTGATTATTGTTTTATCTCTGTTGTTGGTTTGTATCTCTAGAGTGGGCTCTTTTGAGGGATACTGGACAACCAGATGTATTCCTAAATCTCTGCTGCTATCCTCATCATGGGTGTTATAGAGGAGACTGACGTAGAGCGTGAGTAACACTCTTGTCCACTTTGCCCAATATATATACTCAATTTCAACTAATTTAATAGTCCACACATAAACACAAGCACTTGTAAGCATGATCATGTCCCACTTGTCTAGAGTTATAATATGCTTAATGTTTTTAAGTTATACATCGCTTTGATTTTCATCTCCAGTGTTGTAATGCTTATGGCCGCTGACCAAATCTCTCTTAAAGGGTTAGTTCATCCAAAAATGACAATTCTGTCATAAATTACTCACCCTCATGTCATTCCAAACCCATAAGACTTTTGTTGAAGCTTTTTGATGAAATCTGAGAGCTTTCTGTACTCTCCATTGGCAGCTAGACAGAGATCAAATAACTAATATGAATTGAGTGGTTTAGCCCAAATTTTCTGAAGAGACATGATCGCTTTATTTAGAATTTTATTCACATACATTCATCAACTCACACATCAGTTGTGGTAAACAGAAGCTCAAGCATGTTTGCTTGAAGTGCCAGAAACAGCAAGGTTCATTCTCGCGTGTTGCTCAGCACTTTTGAGCTTCCACAAGAGGCTTGTTCTCGTGCGTTAAGCAAGTATGTTTGAGCTTCTGTTTATGTTCACTGATCAATGTTTATATGTGAATAAAAGCCTAAATTAAATCTGTTCATCATATAAAGCGATCGAGTCTCTTCAGAAAATTTGGACTAAACCTTTCAATTCATATGGATTAGTTTTACAATCTCTTTATGAACTTTTTGAAGCGTCAAAGCTATAGTTGCATGGATGGTCAAGGAGGGACAGAAACCTCTCAGATTTCATTAAAAAATCTTCATTTGTGTTCCGAAGATGAACAAGTGTCTTGCATGTTTGGAACGACATGAGGGTGAGTAATTAATGACAGAACTATCCCTTTAAGGCTGCATTTATTTATTTATACAGTAATATTGTGAAATATTATTATAATTTCAATGATAATGTAATGTAATTCTAATCTAATGTAATTTATTCCTGTGATGGACAAGCTGAACTTTCTGCCACATGAAAAAAAAAAAGTAGTAATATTTCTGTGGAAACCATGATCCATTTTTTTTCAAGATTCTTTGGTGAAATAGAAATATTTTTTAACATTTTAGCCTAAATGTCTTAACTGTGACTTGTAATCAATTTAGTGCGTTTTGCTGAATAAAAAATAATTTCTTTACAAACAAACAAAATCTGACTTACCCCTAAACATTTGAATATTAATGTATATCATGATTATTCGCATATTAGCTCTGCCCTAACAGCTTTAGAGATGGAGAGGCAGAGTAATTGATATAGATAAGTCTATATGTGAAAGCACCTGTTTTTCATTTAAAATGAACTCCCACATTAATCCAGTCATGGGCTTTCTTTTATCCCATTAGTGTCTTTCAACACTGAATTCTTTAGGTTGGATTTAAAGCTAATTGCCCAATGAGTATGTTTAGGCAACTCATTTACTCTGTGTGCTGTAGGTAGATTAGAATAATCTCATCAGATGGGACTGTATGTGAAGATTAAGTATGGTTAAAATGTCCAGATGTTGCAAAGTTTGTATCAAGATATTCTGCATTGCAGATTTTCCCCCTTACGTTGTACTCTCTGTGTTGTGAGTTTAGGAGCAGGAGTGAGTCATATCATGAGGCATCCATCATGTCCTCAATGCAGTGCTTGTGACCCACTAGTGCACGAGTTAATTACACTAATCCCAATGATTAATTGATCACCCACTCACAAGAGTTGTGTTTGTGTTGGTGAGAAACAGTAATGTCTGCTGTTGAAAGAATATGTTTGTGTAGGACTTTTGTATCTGGATTTACTGCATAGTATGAGATAGTAAGACTAATAAAAATGATTTAAGGTCAGTTTGTCCATTGAGAAACTGGCATAGTGGCAAAACTATGTGAAAAGATGTACTTGTATACAGTACTATTAAAAAGTTTGGGTCAGTATTTAAAAAAAAAAACTTTTATTAAACAAGGATGCATTATGATCAAAATTGAAATGCATTTCTAATGTTACAAAATATTATATTACAAATAAATGCTGTTATTTTAAACTTTATATTTAGAATCCTGAAAATAATGTGTCCCAGTTTCCACAAAAATGTTTTAACATTGATAATAACGTTTATTGAGCCCCAGATCAGCATATTAGAATGATTTCTGAAGGATCATGTGACACTGAAGACTGCAAAAATGGCTGCTGAAAATTCAGGAATAAATTATATTGTTAAATATTGTTAAATATTGTTAAATTGGAAAAGTTTTTTTTTTTTTACTGTTTTACTGTGTTTTAGATCAAATTGGTAAGCATAGGAAACTTTTTTTAAAAACATGAAAACCCCTTTTGAACGGTAGTATAATTGGCTGCATCCGGAATCGCATACTCTCTGGAGTAGGTACTTATTTTGAATAATTAATTACTTCATGAATGCTAAAAAAAATATGTTCTATAGTATGAATGTGAGTAGTATGAATGAAATTTTTGCCATGTCGTCATTATCATGTGACCTACTAGCATCAGTTGCGTAGGTTCACTGCCATTCACAAATCCTCTCCTGTGGCCTCATGGGATAGTAAAGTGTTGTTCGTACGCATGCTTCAGAATCTCGCCTGAAGTAAGATCATGTGGGTGCTTTTTGCCTACTCTTTTATGAGTACTGTGAATTCGGACATACTACTTTTGTCACATACTGTTTTCGCCTACTATATAGTAGGGAAGTAGGCCTATATAATAATAGGCCTACTTCCCTACTATATGAATGTCCATTTATCTACAAATACGGATACAGCCACTGGGTTTGTGTACCAGTACACACATTTCAGAAATTCTCCATCCTGTTCTGTGCTCATATTGATGTGCATGTTTTTATCCTATCAGAGGTGACCCTGGCTCTTTTGGATGCTGCCAATGACAAGGATCCGGTGGTGCAGGAACAGGTCAGGAAATCCATTTTGACACTAGGGAACCAGCAGCCTGATAAAGTCCTGTCCATGTGTCAGGACTACCTGCTCAAACACCCCAAGGTCAGCCAAAGATTTTTCTTAAAACATCTGAACCTGTTTTGAAAAGGTTTTCCAGAGAAATATTATGTTCTCTCTTGAAATTTTCAAATGCTTGTCTCTTGTGTTTCCATATGATTTCCTCTGTGAAGACTATTAGAATGGGTTAAATAGATTAAAAAGCATCAAATATCATAAGTTATCATGGATTCAGTCTAGTCTCTGTAGCTAAAATAATATTCAAAGGTTTGGGGTCAGTAAGATTTCTTTTAAAGAAATTAAAAAAAAAAAATGTTTTCAGCAAGGATACATTAAACTGATCAACTGAACAATAAAGATATTTAAAATATTACAAACGATTTTAAATAAATGCTTTTTAATTGAATGGTAAGTTAATCAAATAATCCTGAAGAAATGTATCATGGTTTCCTCAAAAATATTTGAAAGCATATCCCCAGAAAGAAAGGAAAATAATTCAGTGCGTGTTTCTTTATAAAGGAAACACACATTAATGTAATATGTAATAAACCTTTTTACCTGTAACCAGATCTCTTCTTTTTATCAATTTGTAATGCCTAGGCATGGCTGTGTTGCTCTTGCCTGCCTCTGATTTGGCTCATGTCTGTTTTAATAGTTGACCAGCTTTGTCAGATATGAATGTAGAGTTTGCTAAATTTGAGACTGTGTTTTTACTGATTTAGTTTTGTGATAGCATGTCTTTTATAGTACATTTTATTAGTACATGTGCATGAGCTTACTTGCAAGTCACCTTTGTCCTGTGTAGCTGGTGGTCGTGCACAGAATGGTGGTCTTGCAAACCATTGAGATGGTGGTGAAGAGCAGGATTGATGACATCAGTTACCCCAAGATCAAGAGTGTTATACATCTGGCATCAGATGAGATGACTAAATCAAAGGTGAGAACTGATTTACACTACTGTTCGAAAGTTTGGATCGTTAAGCTTTTTTAATTTGTTTTTTTAAAGAAATTCATATTTTTGTTCAGTATTACATTGATCAAAAGTGACAGTAAAGACATTTATAATGTTACAAGAATATTTTAAATAAATGTTTAATTCAATTAATCAAAGAAAAAAAATCTGTCACGGTTTCCTCAAAAATATTAAGCAGCACAACTGTTTTCAACATTGATAATAATAATAAATATTTCTTGAGCACTAAATCAGCATATTAGAATGATTTCTGAAGGATCTTGAAGACTGTAGTAATGATGCTGAAAGTTAAGCTTTGCCCTCACAGGACTAAATTACATTTAAAAAATATATTCAAATTGAAAACAGTTATTTAAAAAAAAAAAAAAAAATAGAGGAAAGAACTGGGTCTATTTTGAGTGAGTGTCTTGCTTAAACCTTTCAATGACATTTAGGAAAATAGTTATGTGACAGGTTACTCCTAAACATGTCAAAATGTAGTATTTAGCATTATTTTTAATTAATTCATTTCTTTATTTATTGTTTGTATATTATAATGTGCAACACAAATTTATGATTTTCTTTATTTAAACATATAAAACAAATTGTCTTCTTTTGTACAGGAAGTTGTCCCTGACTGGCAGCAAGCAGCCAGTAATATACTAGTTGCTGTGGGAAACAAATATATTAATGACATCATGGAGGAGATACTCGGGAAGTTCCAGCCGGGAGTTTTGCCTCACTTCTTTGTGGTCCAAACACTAGCCAATCTCTCAGACTCAAATGGTACATAACCTTAATCAAAATTCATTAAAAGTTTTCTCTAGTGATGTCTTTCTTTTATGAAGCTCTAATTTAATTTGATTAATTTTACAGAATTTTCAGCATAAGTGGATTTTTGAAGCTTTTATTTTAGTTTTTAACTAGAAAAAGGAAAGGGAAGTTACAGTTTGACCTGCAAACTTTAGTCAGGAAGTTAGCAAATTATGTTATCATGCTTTGTTGCATTTGACAGTTGATCATTCTTTTTTTCAGATCCTCATTTAACTGAACCGTATTTATTATTTTTACCATCACATTAGTACTTATTATTTTCACTTCCTATAAACTTTGTTTGGAGTCAACACCAGTGTTTCCCAACCTATTTTGTCTTATGCACATTATGTATAACTAACAGTTTAAACTCCCCTTAGGCCTGGTCATTATTTTAAGATAAATTATTTGAATAATAACATAGAAGTATCTCCATAATGCAGATTTGTACTGTTTAAGTCCTGTGTTCTTGTTTGGTTACGTTTCTGACCTGTTTTGACCTGTTTGACCTCTGCCCCACAGTATATGGGATGGTGCCATTTCTCAGTGCTATATTGGGGACCATGTTGCCCATGCTGGGAATGACCAAACAAGACAACATGAAATGGGTCTTCTCTTCCGGTAAGCTCAATTACAGGTCTGCATAAAGTGTTACATTTTCTGTGTCAGCTAATCGACAAAATGTGAATAAATGTATACACTACTTTCAGAATTTTGGGGTTGGTAAGATTTTCAGCATCATTACTCCAGTCTTCAGTGTCACATGATACTTCAGAAATCATTCTAATAATCTGATTTGGTGCTCAGGAAACAATTCTTATTACCGTATTATCAATTTTAAGATCAATTGTGCTGCTTAATATTGTTGTGGAAACGTGATCGTTTTCTTTCTGGTTCTTTCATGAGAATAGAAAGGTAATCCATATTTATTTGAATTTTTTTTTTTTTTTTTTTGGTAACTATGTAAAAGTCTTTACTGTCACTTTTGTCATTTTTGAAAGAAAGTATTACTTTTATTCAGTAAGGATGCATCCTTATTTTTTATTGTGACATGGCTTCTCATCTATTTACGTTTCCTCTTAGCTCTCTGCCGGTTTAGCGAGAGCATTCTAGAGTATCTGGCCAACCTAGACAAGGCTCCAGACCCCACTGTGCGTAAAGACACCTTCTCCAGTGAGATTTACTCAGCCTACGACATCCTGTTCAACAGCTGGATCCAGAGCAGAGAGTCCAAGGTACCCTCAATGAGACAGAGCACACATCCAATTACAGCTAACTCACTTTTGAGTCTAAAGAGGGACATGAACTTTTGCCAAATGGGTTCATTTCAGTTTTTCTTTGGAATTGAAGCAGGGGAAAAAAACATGTGAGCCTGTGAACTAAATCTGCTTTTTTCAGAGAGGTGGATTTCTTTGTAATTGCTGAAGATTGGATTGTGTGTAGTACATTTATAAAATAATGGAGGCATTACAAATCATGCATTTTATTCAAGACTGTCATTTAAATATACCTTGGTCACTGATCATCAAAATAACTTCTAACTTTACTTCCAATCCACATCCATTTGTTTTTTTTATCTTTTCAGTCTGGCTTGGTTATTTTTTTGCCTTTTTTCCCCCCGATTTGATCTAATGTGAGTGTGTGTTCATCCATGTACATGTTTGTACCTGATTGTTCTCGCGTGTATCTTTCGGCAGCTGCGTATGACTGTTGCAGAGGCTCTCGGGTCAATGAGTCATCTGATGGCACATGATAAACTGGAAGAACAGCTTCCCAAACTCCTTCCCACCATACTGGGCCTCTACAAGAAGAATGCAGAACACTACATCATCAGCAAGGTAAAGTCCTGCTCACCGTTTCATCTGATTCACAATTACAGAAAAAGGTTTGGTGGAGGTTAATGGGTCAACCAGTTATTCAATCCAAGTTCAGGTACTTTTCCCACTCTGAACTTTGAATGTTTCTTCAGTGTGTTCAATAAAGACGTGAAAACGTGTAATTGTTTGTGTTGTTTAATGACTTGGTTCATGACTGAATTAGATCTCTGCCTGCCTAATGTAGTCTAATGCTGTTTGTGTTTGTTCAGAGCTTGTGTCAGGTCCTGGAGGCCTCTGTGAATATGGGCAGCAGAGTGTTGGAGACACAGATGGATGGTCTTTTACTTGCTCTGCACCAGCAGGTCTGTGTCTCTCTCAATCTCTCTTTATGTGCACCACCTTTTACAGACCTCTAAATCTCTTGCTTAACTTCTTGCAATTGTGTTTTCATTTTGGTAGAACAGGTTTTAAGTTGCCTAACCACAGTGTTACAAAGAGAGCAACCCAGGGCCATTTAACAGTTTAACTTAATAGGAAGTGTTCACAGAAGTTCACCTCTGTGGCCTTGGAATTTGTTTTGATTTAAGTTGAAATCGGCTTAGAAAAGATGTTTATTGACTGATGTTTTAATTTACACCATTTATTTTGAAATTTGAGAATTTTTCAATTAATCTATTACATTTATTTTAAACTTTACACCCTTTTTTTTTATTAGAAAACCAGTTTAGTTCATTTAATTGCCTTTATGCTTCATCACTGCATTTTTCATTAAAAAAGCAAGTTTTTAAAGTTATTTTCTTTCCAGATATGCTCACCTGTAGACTTCAGCAACCCTCCAACTGTGAAAAATCACAACGAGGTCCTGCGATGCTTCAGTATCCTTGGTGAGTCTTGTTTAAACCTTTTTTTATTTATTATTTTAAGGTGCATGCAAATGTAAAATCATAGAAATCAATTTATTTTACTAGCCATGTGGTCATGAACTCAAGTGAAGTCAGCTGACTGCTGTTTGCAATATCTTTGTCATGTGCTGATGGAGTCTGAGCTGAGATTAAGTTAAAGTGTCTGACCAGCCAGAAGGCTCTTTCAATCAGTGAGATGATCTTGTACAGTTGTGTGCTTGGTGCTGATTTGAGTTGACACACACCAGCTGGATTTCTCTCCTCTCGCGGTTGTGTTTTGTCAAGCAGATGCAAGGAGTTATTATGTGTTTTCTGTGTGTGCATGTCAATCATGATGTTTTAATCATGAGTGTGTCATCCAACAGTGAAAATAATAGGTGTTAGTGCTAGATCTGTACTGAAGCAAGTGCATAAATTAGAAAAAGTACTCCTTACATTTATGAATGGTTACATGGGCACATTTTTTATTTATTAGTTTAGTTCCCAGGTTTTTACCTATTCATTTTCAACTTGGGTCCTAAAACAAAACCTGTCAAATACCACTGGTCTAGATAATGAAGCAGAGACTTTATATGGGCTATTTATATATTGGATCATTTACCAGACATTAAAACCAGACACCATTTATTAGTGTGTATACATTTGAACACCAGTTTTGGTGGTCCATTTATTGGCACAGAACACTGTCAAAGTCTATGATGGTAACTGAGGGTGAACTTGACAAATGTAATATTTTGCTGTTTTTGGTCCCAGCGAACACGTTCCCCGACCGCCTGATGGTGTTTGTGCTCCAGAGGTTGGAGAACAGTAACGAGAGGAACAGAATGGGCGCACTGGCTGTTCTCAGACACCTCATCAACTCATCCAGTGAGTTTTAAACATGTAATCAAATACGTCAACGATTCCTTTCACAACCAGACACTCACATCCAGATTGTCATACTTGGTTATGAAAGGATCTGAATATTTTGCTGAGATAGTCATTTACAGATCTGTTTTTTAAAACTCTACCATGTCTGTTCAAGCCTCCACTATGGAAACCAAGAAGCTCCTAATTCTAACCAGCATCAGGCAACCTCTGGCTGACCACAGCAATAAGGTACATAAATAAATCCTCTGAATGTGATATGTGACAAAACATGGGTGTTTCATCAACTTTAGACAATGTTGCCCCAGTGGACCTTTAGAAAATAAACTCCCTTAAAATACATTTGTCACACTAGTTTATTTAATTTGTCTACTAACATGTTCGAAAGTGAATGTTCATGCATAAGAGTCCCCCCCCTGTTGCTATCATTTATGCTGCAGTGTCATTGTCACTGTTATGTATTGTTTAATGGAATTATGTGGTGGAAATGTTTTTTTTTGTTTTTTTTTCAGGAATAAATGTGCAGAAATTCTGAGTGTTCAGAAAGGTCTTAATGATTGTGTTTACCTGTGCAGGTGAAGAAGAGAGTGGTGCAGGTGATCAGTGCGATGGCTCATCATGGTTACCTAGAGCTGGAGGGAGGAGACCTGCTCGTCCGCTTCATCATTCAGCACTGTGCTCTACCAGACACTTATCATGTACAAACAACCTTTACTGGCTACACATTTCATTATCTTACTGCAGTGTCACATGACTGTAGCTGCAACTGAACTTTCTGCTCACTGACCACATTTTAGATTCTGTTTGATAAGTCTACAAATCTCACTTGATTTCCCATGCATTGAACTGCAAGATTGTTAACGATCTGTTGTTTCAGACCTCTTTAGCATTCAATTTAGCAAGCTTGGTCAGTCCATAGTCCATGTTGAGTCATATGTCAGTGCATAGCTTAGTTTTTAAATATTTGCATTAGCTGGGGTGATTCCCTTTGTTTGATAGCTTTGAACAATTATTGGTTTTAGCCTAGCCTTAGTTATGCTCGGGTGTGTAATACAATATCATGGGTAATAAAATGTGTTAAAATTCATACAGCGAGGACAGCGACCACCAGACCCAGAGGAAGTGACCAATGAGGCTCTGCGTAGCATGTGTGATAACACGCTACATCTTTTCACTACTACAGTGGGCCGGCTGACTGATGTGAGTACACGCAATTGTACAACTTCCGCAAACAAGTTAAAATGGTTTCCTTAGATGCTTGAAGTCATGGTTCTTATTTCAAAATGTGCAATGTTTTCTTGTTACTGTTGTGCAACGTTATGATGATTGACTGATATTGCATGTCATTTTATGCATGCCCGGTGAACTTGATGAATGTCATATCTCTGCCATTATTCTTAAGGGGAGCTGCCATTGAATAATTGGGCCTGATTGTCTGGAAGTGTAGTGATTTAAAAATCAACCATATATAGCCAATATTGATCTGAATATTAGGGGAACATCAATGTCTGTGGTGGTGACAGTCGCACTGCCACTAAATCAGACACATGCACATCTGCAATGCGTCTTACTATCTTGAAGACAACTCAATGAAACTCTTATATAGTGAGAGATGGGCTTTGCAGTCATTCAGCACAGTCCATCATCTTCACAGCCAAAGTCAGCAGCCTCAGCCCCGCATTGCTGCTTGTAAGAAAGAGTGTCTAGAGAAATATTAGATCTTTTTTCCTGTGAGCTTCCCAACATCAACAGCAGGCCGTTGACAGGGATCTCTCCTCAGCAGACAGACGAAGACAGTTTATGTGCCGATGAGACTGTCTCCATTCACGTTGCCAAAACGCATTCAAATGATAACCAGGAAAATTTCAGGAGATGCACATCTAGCCAGACTATTTTTAGATTTTTGTTGTGTCTTACTTGTTAACATGTTGTTTTAAAGCACTGAATTTACACTTTTATGAGATTTATTGTGTGGATTTATCAAGGTAGACACTGAAACCAAATAGGTAAGAGCTTTCCACTGGATAATTAATACAGTGATTAATATGTTTCTTCTTGCAAGAAGTTATTTAATCTGATGCAGTGAGTAGCTTCACATTCCCTAAACAACCATGTCGGAAGATATCCTGTGGTCATGGAAAAGATGTTACTTTGTTTCAGTAAGGTCAGATTGGTAGTCTGCATTAAGCAAAGAAAACAACTAAGGAGATTGCTGAAACTGCTAAAATTGGGTCCAATGCGTAATTAATATCTAGAAGGATATCTTTGAGGAAGAAATGTGGTCAGAATTTTCTTTTTTTTAATGATCCTGATCAGAGATCTCTTAAACATTTGGTGAAATCAAATCATAGAAAAAAAAATCAACAGCAGAACTCATAGCTATGTGTAATAGTGAAAGTAAGAGCTTTTCCACACACACAATGCGAAGATAACTCAAGGGGTTTGGACTAAAAGGCTGTGTAGCCTTAAGAAAATCACTTTATCAGTGAGGCTAATCAGGAGGAAAAAAAGAAAGAGTTGGGCAAAAAAGATTGGACTCTGGAGCAATGTAAAAAGGTCATGTTGTCTGATGAGTCCAGATTTAAACTGTTCCAGAGTGATGGGCATATCGGGGTGAAAAGAGATGCAGAAGAAGTGATGTATCCATTATGCCTAGTGCCTACCGTACAAGCCTGTCAGGGTGGCAGGGTTGCTTTAGTTGGTCAGGTCTAGGTTCAGCAACATTATGTGCCCAAAAAATGAGGTCAGCTAACTACTGAATAATCAGTGGTTTCCATCTATAGATTTTGTCTTCCCTGATGGCATGTGCATATTCCAAAATGACAATACCAGGATTGTTGGGCTCCAATTTTTAACCACACAGAGTCCAGAACTTAAAGGGATAGTTCACCCCAAAATTTACAATTTTGTCATCGTTTACTCACCCTCAAGTTGTTTCAAACCTGTATGAATGTATTTCTTCTGCTGAACACATAGGAAGATATTTTAAAGAATGTCAGTAACCAAACAGTTGTGGGGGACCAGTGTCTTCCATAGTAGAAGTCAATGGTGCCCCACAACTGTTTGGTTACAAACATTCATCAAAATATCTTCTTTTATGTTCCACATAACAAAGAAATTCATACAGATTTGGAATCAACTTGAGGGTGAGTAAATGATGACAGAATTTTTATTTTAGGATGAACTATTCCTTTAATCCCATTGAGATTTTTTGGGATGCGCTGAAAGAGACTTTACGCAGCGGTCCGACTCTCCCATCATCAATAGAAGATCTTGATGAGAAATGAATGCAGCTCTGAACGGAAATTAATGTTGTGACATTGTATCTGCTTATTGAAACGATAATTTGGCAAATGCATTCCCTAATCAAAGCATAAGGCGGTCACGGTCCTATGAAGTTGTACCTTTTTTTTTTTTGGGGCTAGGCAGTGTATATACTGTATATAAATCCACAAACCATATGAATATATATGTTTATTATTTACAATAAACATCCATTATTCAGTATTTATATATCCGTTATAAGATATAAACACTTTGCCCTTTATCTCTCTACACTTTGTCTTTCGTTTACTGAACATAATGCATGTTATTTTTCGTGTAGGTTCTGTGGCCGATGTTGCTTTGCTACCTGACCCCAAATCAGTTTGCCAACGCCACCACCCCCTTGTGCAAGAGTTTAATTCTTCTGGCCAATAAGAAGCGAACAGCACAAGAAACCAACTTCATCATAGACTTCAATGCACAAGGTGTGGACACACACACACATACACGATCATGATGTCACTGATGAGCCTAGTCTTATACTAAGAGCTTTTCCAATGTCTGACCTGCAGAAACCCGTGAATCACACTTTCTGTCTCCTCTGCAGTGCTGCAAATCCAGCAGATGCCGTTAAATCGTTTTTTTTTTTTCGTTGTTGGACTGAAACTAAATTGCACTTGCAGACGTTCTGTTTTCATTGCAAGTCGTTTGATTTGCCTGTTGAGTCTGTTTCTAATTAGTCAAATGAAAAGTGGTATTTATCAACTGAATAAAGTTTTTTGGGCAGAGGGTAATTGTTTCTTACACTGACAGTGATTAAATTGAACTCTAGTAGGACAAATAAGTCCCAGGCTCAGTGATTATTTATTCGTTAATTGCAATGCTTTTGGATCATGTGCTTTACTAATGGGTTACCCTTGTCTGCTCTCCCCCTCTCTCTGTCTTGCTCTGTTTCTTTCCTCTTCCCGCAGGCTATAGTCTTCCCTCACAATATATCCTGATGATAAGGCTCTTGGTAAGTGTAGAATTTCCAGTGTTTTTTTTACTTCAATCATTATCAGTTTCAGGTGGGCAACGAGTAAGGTTTTTCATGCCTCTCTGGACTGCTTGATTCTTGATTCTGGTCAGTTGTGGCATATTTTTGGGCTGCACTTTATTTTACAGTACGTGCACTTACGTGTACTTACAGTGTACTGACCTAAGAAAGTACTGGTTATTATAAGGTAACTACATGGGTTAGGTTTAGGTGTAGTTTCAGGTTTAGTACCTAGTTATTACCCAGTTATTGCAATTACTATTATTATGTTCATGGGGAACAGGGGCCGTATTCACAAAGAATTTTAAGGCTAAAAGTAGCTCCTAACTGGCGAATTTAGGAGCAACTCCTAAAAATAATGGGCGTGTCACTCCTAACTTTAGGACTCCTAATTTTTTTGACTAAGAGTAATTCACAAAGCATTTTAGCCCTAAAAGTAGCACCTAAGTCTGGGACAGCTTAAAAGAAGTCGAGAGGACTCCTAACTCACTAAGACCTATTCACAAAGGATTGTAGTGCATACCACCGCCTCTCGCAGTCGTCCGGAGTCCGCGACACAAGCGGGAATGCTGTATTGATCTGCAAACAAATCCTCTCCCATTCTCACGCTTAGTTTTGCTTGATATCCCAGTGCCGAATTTCACTTTTATCAGGTTTTTTTTTTTTTTTTTTTTAGCACCAACTGGGCCAGCAGCAGTAACTGATCCTGCGTCCAGTTGGGCTTTCTTTTCCGTTTTGGCGACTTCATAATCCACTGTCATTCAACTATTACATTACTTCAATAAGAGCAACATTTCCTTGCTTTAAGTAGTCTATTTAGGCTAATAGGATGTCAATTAACCAAGCAAGTGTTAATGCAAGTGTTGTTTTTCATTATTAGGCAAGTGGCGACTTTCATTGGGGTATTAGGCTACCTTGATTTAATTTATTTTAATTCACTACTTTTTTCTCTCTCTGCCTTTTTAGAATTAGACTTCACTGGGGCCTGCACAAACATGTCATTATATATGCATTTCAATGACGTTACTATTATTATTTTGTGTAGGACACAGACATATTTAGATGTCGTAATTCCATGATTTGTTGCGTCTGTGTTATGTTCCGCCTGATGGCCCTGTCATCTAACAACCAATCACCGTGATCATTGCGAGGAAGCTCGTGCATGAGAAGTGACGTCATCCATAGCAACGAAGACTCACTCTTAGTTTAGGAGTTGTCATTTTTCCTTACTAAGAGTAGGTCTGAAAGGCGCTGTGAATAACTTTTAAGAGAAAACTCCTAGCTAAAATATTTTAGTGCGATTTAGGAGTACTCTTAGTGGTAAGATAAAATTCTTTGTGAATACGCCCCCTGGACTGTAAAATAAAGTGCTACCTATTTTTTAATGATGACAATCAAACTGAATATGGTGCTACTTTCATACAGTATTATTGTTAAAAAATAATAATAATAAAAATTATTATTATTATTATTGAACGAAATTAATACTTTTAATCAGCAAGGATGCATTAAATTGATAATAAAGAGACAATAAAGACGTTTACTTTGTTACAAAAAAAGTTATATTTCAAATCAATGCATGATCACAAGTGTATCGTGTTTTAACAAAAATATAGCAGCACAACACAGCTGTGATAATAAGGAATGTTTCATAAGAACCAAATTAGAATGATTTCTGAAGGATCATGTGACACTGAAGACTGAAGTAATAATGCTGAAAACAGCTTTGCCACTACATGAAAAAATAGTATATTACATAAATATTACATTTAAGATTATATTAAAAAGGTTATTTTTAAATTGTAATAATATCACAATATTACTGCTTTTATTGTAATTTTGATCAAATAAATTCAGCCTTGGTGAGCATAGAAAACATTAAAAAGGTGTACTGACCCCAAACTTTTGAACAGTAGTGTTTCAAAACATTGAACACATTGAGATATTCATATACATAATATTGGTGTTAAGCTAACAATGTCCATTTTGTTTCTCAACAATGTCTCTGTTTCTCCTGATACACTCTTTTGGATCATGATGTAATGTAGTCGCTGCTTAATGCAGACCTTAAACATCTAAAATAAATGTTACATTTTCCTCAGGTGAATGCCTCGTTCCCGTTTCGGTGCAGGGGACACGGTGCTCCCTCCCTGAGTCTGCTCAACTCTATCAGCCCTAACATTCACCCTAAAGCAGAGCCGCTGTGGGAAAATGAGATTCCAAAGCTGCTCGATTATCTTGAAGGTTTGTTAAAATATACAACAGTGATGTAGAGGATTAGGTGCAAGGCTGTTCTTCACAAGGCCACCAGACCACGCCACCTACTGGTCATTACATCCACCTGCACACTTTAATGTTTCATCATGTTTTCAAAAGTCCAGTCATCTTGAAACTGAATTTGGACATCATGAGAAATGATGTGATCTATGAAAGAATCCATTTAGTCTGATTGCCTTTGCAAGGAAGCACTGCTCTGTCTAATCTAACTTGCTGCGATATTTCAACGAAGTAGGTCAATTTACTGACATAAGAGGTCTTGTTTCTGTATTTAGTAACCAGTGGCTTAACTTTGTTTTAAAAAGTGGGTGGGACAGGTGTGTGTGTGTCTGTGTCTGTGTGTGGGGGGAGAGTGCTAATTGCTTTGTCAGATATGTACTATAACAATTGCAGAAAAAATAACATGATATCCAGAAATCAATTTCAATTGTACGCTGAGTTTAACTTGTAGACAGAACTCGTTTAATGTGATAGTTTCATCCTTACATAATATACAGTAGTCAACATTTGAAGTAGATTTTATTAAAGTTATACATGAATTTTGAACAATAGCCGTTCTTGACTTAGGACAACTTTGATGAACTTTTTTGATCCCCTTCAAATGTTGACTACTGTAGAATACAATATATTGTCAGTACAGAGTTTCTTCACATCAGTGAACAAATACACAGATCCGTGTGCCTTTATGGTCCGGGGGTATAACTTTTGTTAAGCGGTTTTGGGTTCTAATCTGCGCTCGTATAGTTTATTTACAGGGTTCCCGCGGGGTCTTAAAAAGCCTTAAAAGCATTGAATTTATTAATTTGGAAATAATACCTTAAAAAGACTTTTAAAAGTCTTGAATTTTGATGTGTGGGTCTTAAAAATTGTGCTGTATATGTAACTTCTCCTCCGTATTGTATTTTTCCTCAAAAGTTTCATTTGTCAACCACGATTTTTAGGATTTTCGATGTTTATTGTTCAGAGGTCTCTCAGTTCCCCATATTCACAGCATGGAATAAGTAGCTAGCTAATGTTAAAAAACAACTTAACATTGTTCTGCAAACTTTCTTGTGGCCTACTGAAATGTTTTTATTTTTCACACCTGCTTGGCTTATCATCTTTTACCCATTCCACATTTGAAAAATAAATGAACACAAGTTTATTTATAATAAATGTTTTTCTTTGCTGGTAGGGATGTGGAATAGGTATTCATTTTTTATATAAATGGTCTTAAAAAGGTCTTAAAAAGACTTAAATCTAACTTGAAAAACTGTAGGAACCCAAGATTTGCATTAAAACTAAAGATGTTCATCAATTATTGTTTATCAAGAGCAGGGACACGTTTGTGTGCACTTTGTTTTGTGGTTTCACATCACCGGAACGAATGGAGAGCGTTAAGTGATAGATTGCAGCGTTTGTTCGTGTGAAGACTGTATGAGCCACAAGAGAACACTGATTACAACGGCAACGAACACTCGGAATGATTTCAAAAACCACATTCCAGTGCCAGATCACCTCTTATTTAATACAAATGAATGCAATTACTACTCTGGTAGTCAGCTAAAGATATTTCCTTAGATGCATCTGTTTCGCGAGATGTTTCAAAAAGTGGTGGGGACAATATCGACCCTGGCAAAAAGTGGTGGGGACGTGTCCCACCTGTCCCACCTGCAAATTTCACCTATGCTAGTAACTGAAACTTTACAGGTTCGCTCTGTCTTGCTCCGTCAGTTTTTAGTTGAAGGAGAGGTTCTTGAATCGTCTGCTATGATCTCAAGTGCCTCCCAAAACCACCTGTCCTTAGAGACTCACAAGACAACCAGATGTTTCCAAGATACAGCCAAAATTATATTTGAATATGAAAACTCCTATTTCACATTCCGCGACTCTTCCAAGATAGTTACATGGTGTAGCTTTAAAGACTTCTTTTGGGTATCCCATTATCTTTGACTTTTTCCAGAGTGTGGTTTGAATGGATCTCTGACTGAATTTTGTGTTTTTCTAACCAGAATCATCAGAAGAATCTCTGGACAAAAAGAAGTGGGAAGAAAGTTTACTTAAGGTCTGTAGTAATGTGTATGAACGCATAAATGACTATTGAATAGAAAAGCTTGCGATATTAAAAAACTGTTATCAAGAAATCTATACGAATAAGAGAAGAGAACATGGCCAAAGTTATTGATGGTGATTAATCAGACTTTGCTTTCTGATTGTGATGAAGCTCCTGTCTAAAACTCTGTCAGCCATTGACGACAGCCAGTGGACCGGTCAGCTTGCAGCAGAAGCCACACGGTACCTGCCCACCTACAACAACTCACTGGAGGAGAAGGTCAGTTAAGAAACCCATCTGTGCCTCTTCATGGTATAAAAAAGGAAAGCTTTAAAATTACTGACAAGGAACAATAGCTATTTTTATTAAGTTTTTTTGTTAAAAAATTAATCCTTGTGATTGCAGCTGTTGTGACCATTCGTGAAAGAACTAATCATGTGACAGTTTCTTGGTATTGATGCATTGAATGCTTTGTGTAAAAGATTTGAAAAAAACATAAATATGTATAAAACAGCAATTCAAGAACATAGTTCTCAGCTTGTTTGGATGTGTGTAGCCAACATAATGAATGTCTCATGCGGTTCCCCCAAACTAAATATTTATTTCAATGTAAATTTGATGTCATTTCCTGCATTCTTTTGACAAACTCTTCTTTTTCTCTATTTTTTCAGAGTTTTTTGTATAGGTGTGTCGGTGTGATTCTCCAGCAGTGCCACAATAAAGAGTTGGTCAAGAAACAGCTGCAGGAGATCCTGATCAGCACTCGCCACAATGATGCAATCGAAAGAACGGTACACCGATCTCAGCGCTTGTACACCGCGCACTTATCAGTTCACTTCTGACTTCTGAATTAAGAGAGAGTTTATGTGCTGACAGTCAAACTGCTTGCTCAAGAACAACGTTCAGACAGCACACTCTCCCCTCTCTGGGGAATTATGTATCTTAATGCATCCCTTTTACCACACTGTCACCAAAATGATTAAAGCTAACCAAATATTAGAAAAAAAGTCTGAAGCTAGTCGCTAATTATACTATCTGTAAATAATATATTTACTATAATGTAAATATTGGCAAACTCTAAATATGTATTTTAGTTCCCCTCACTCCACAACAAATCCTTTCAATTTAATGGTATTCTTAACAGAACAGTATAAAACAAACATAAATTATAGTGGCATTCATTAAAAACAACACTTATTATAAACGCTTTTGTGTGCTTGACGTTAATTCCATTATATAGAATATTTGGAAGATAAATTCCAGCATGTTTCGGAAGATAAAAAAACATGACTTCTGGAAAATACGGTAGTCCATACAGTAGTCTGTTTTGACCCGTACCTGTATCCAAATTGAGGTAATTCTTCTGCTGTGCTATCAGTTATCACTGAGAACATAGATCCCATATAATTTCTAAACATAGATTTGTATAGAATTGATCCAAATGTTCCACAGTTTGGATATCTGAGAAATTGACTACCGTTAAATAAGGGTTTTTGCAGTTATTTAAAAGCTGCTAATTAAGAATAATGGTAGTAACAGGCAATAATTGGTTTGCAGGGTGTTGCCATGGGAATCGGGCTGTGCGCCAGCAGCCATCTCGATGGCACGCTGGAAAAACTGGAGGAGTTTGGGAAGTCTGACGCCTTCAGGAAAGCCTCAGGGATATTTGGTCTTCTCAAAGTAGGGCGAGTTTCATTGTGCTTCTCAAATAATACAAATTAAAAATATCTTCTTTCTTTTTTTCCAAATCAGGTGTTAAAAACTGTAACATTTAAATTTAGTTTGAAATTGTCATATTTTTTTATTATAATAATTGTGAAATTTAACAGTGCACAGTGGTCCATTGTGCAAAGGTTAGGTAGTAAAATGATCATTATATTAGGTTTATAAAGCGCTTCAGAAACCGTATTTCACACATGTATCTTGTTGTGTTACTTTTCTTGTCATTCAGGATAAAAACGATGTTGATGTGGAGAAAATGAAAAGCACTTTAATTTTGTGTTACGGCTATGTTGCGTTGCACGCTCCAGAAGATAAGCTCCTCACTCGCATCGATAGGGACATTCTCCAAAACATCTCGAAAAACTTCAACACCAAGGTAAAACCCATAGGGCTCAACTGTAACGCCATCATATTTTTTGTCTGCTGCGTACTTTCTGTGACTTTCTGTGTCCTGAAAATACAGCAGTTTTATTGTAGTATTACAAAGTGTAAACTGGTATTTCTAAATTCTAAAATGTTATTGTGAGTTTTGACCAATGAGTTTGGAGGTTTTAGTCAGTTTTATAGTCATAGTTGGACCAAAAATATTGATGCCTCAACTTTCATTTGCATTGGTTGTTTGTTAGGAGATTTTTGGAAGAACTTTAATTTTCATGCCTCTGTAGCTCTATTATGTTAGATGAACAGCTTATTTATTTGATCAGAAGAATACATTAATCATTTCTCATTGTTTGTTATACCAGCGAGGCAAAAAAATTAAAAATGTGTTGTTGCTGTGAGGTGTTTTCCTAAATAAGTCCTCTGAATGTCCTAGTATATGTTGACAAGATTCAGTTGGCTGCTTTTGAGGCTGCAGTTATGAGAGTTTGATCTAAACGATTTTTAATAAGGATCATTAATTCTCTTTGAGTGCTGAAACATATCTCATCCATATTCATAATGTAATTGTGCGATTTAAAATAATTTCACTCTTAGGGAACCATGTAACTAATTTTGTTAGCATTCTGCACTCCAATCCAACTTGAATATCAAAGTTGAGTTCATGTGAGTCTTTATGGGGATTTTTGAAAAATGTTGCTGTGTTTATTCACTGAATTCATTAAAATTATATTATATTATAATATATATAATATATATATATATATATACTACAGTAGTCAACATTTAAAGTGGATCAAAACCTTTCATCAAAGTTATATTATATGAATTTTGAACAATACCCATTCTTTTCTTAGGACAACTTTACACACACACACAGATACACACACAAAAAACTAAAGGCATTTTGATTTATATCTCAATGTACTTAAAGTATCTGAAGGGTCACATAATTAATCATTCTGATAGTCCATTGTGTGCCCAATCATAAAGTTCTGATTATTGTTAAATAAAATGGATTATCTTTCATGTTTGTGAATTACAATGGATCATTACTTTTATTGTTGTACAGGTTCTGGGAATTAAAGTAGAGACCAAGGTACCGTGAAGGGAAGAGATCATGAGGACCTTCTCTCACCTCTGACCTTTAAACTTTAACTCACTTTCTCTTCAGTCTTGATGCTGCAACCAAAACCTTTACAGTATAACCTTTTGACCCTCTCAAAAAAGCTATCTCTTTATGACACTTTTTATGAGACTTGAGTTTAAAAAAAAAATGTTTTCGCAGATATAAAGCTCTTCATATTTCGTCTAAATCTTTTAAAAAGGTCTTTTGATAAATTAGATATAAAATAAAGATGACATTTTTAAACTTTTACACTACGCTTTGTAAGTAAAAGAGTCATGGTTTTTGAGAAGGTCAAAAAAAAGCTCACTAACCTGATAACCTTTGTCTTACTAAAGCGTCACAGTGTCTAGATACAGGGTTTTCTGGAATTTAGGTGGCTTGATTTATCAAATTCAACTCTTTTTCTATTGAATCACAATTATATTGTCGCACATTGTGATTTCCATCTCTTATTGCACTGTTTAAAGTACAAGTAAGTAAATGTTATGAGTAAAACATGTATTTTTATTTATTTAAAATGAGCATGCTGGGTGCGACTTTGACCCGGAAATACTTTTCTTATTCCAGGTCTTGATTTGCCTGTTCTGTTTGATTGACATATGCTTTGTTCCATAAATCACAGTTTGAGTGTGTTTTCATCTGTGTGTGTGTGTGTGTGTGTGTGTGTGTGTGTGTGTGTGTGTGTGTGTGTGTTTTCATGGCCATTTCATAGGACATGACTATGAAGCTCAGTCTCATTCATAGTGTTGGACTCATTGCCAAGGCCATCAGCAACAGTGTCCGTAAACAGGGCTTCCTGTTCTCCCGCAAACAAGAGCTGATGGGTGTTATGATGGTGAGAGGTTTGAAGATCATTCAGTTTTTAATATACAGTATGTTTTCAATGTACTTTCAGTATAAGGAAGATTACATTTCCATTGGGCAAAAGCTAGGAGATGAATGTGGCATAAAATGAAATGTTATTTTGTAAATCTCAGATCAGTTTCAGAATATGATATACCTATTTAGCATTTGTCTTTTATGTTCCTGCAGGATTTCATTAAAGCTGAACCAGCAGATGTCATGCGGACTCCTGTTCGCTATCTGGTTATGACCACGTGTGCCAACCTCATGTATCCTACCATTTGAAATCTTTCTAGTGTTCATCTGCACTATTTTTAAAATGTTTGTCTTTGTAAATATATGTTAAACATGTTTGTCCATTGTGATGCTTAATGAAACAGTGCCACAATCTATTAAGAACTTGACTCAAGCCTTCAGAAACTTAGATCCTCCTTTATCAGAAAATGAAAACTTTGACTTGTTAAAAATATGTTTGACTGGTGTTTATGGTCTTCCTTCTGTGGACACTCTGGACAAAGCTAAAGATGAAGAAGCCCTGGATCCACAGCAAAGAGAGGTCAGAATAAAATATGCATGTACAGTACGTACAACTTACACATCCCTGGGAGAGTGTCTCTTTTGTCTCATGCATGCTTTAAACATAGAGTTTGTCTTTCATTACAATTCTTTTCCCCTCAGGCCTTATATTCAGATACTTTTAACGCTCTTCTTGAATTGCTGAAGAATGTGTTAGCCAGAGATTTGAGTCCTGATGGTCTGCAGTCTGTTTTTAAGGTGAAGTAGTAACTATAAAAGTTAATTGCCATTTTGTAGTCTCTTTGTCTGAACCCCATGTATTGAGTGCTTTTGCTTTTTCTCAGCATATTGAGAGCTGGCTGAGCTCAGGAAAAGAATATGAGCGGGAGAGAGCAGCAAAGACCATGGCAGATTTACTGCATTTTTATCTGGACCATCTCAATGTGAAGGTAAAGGACATCATTGGCGTATCATATGTATGTATGTCTATACATAAAGTATACTATATATATGATGTGTGTTTACAGTATATATATATATATATAGTGTGTGTGTGTGTGTGTGCGTGTGAGAGAGAGAGAGAGTAATTACTGATAGGGTCTTAGACTCTTTGAATTGCTAGTGTTGGGAAATGTTTCTTGTAAATGTTTCTTCTTCATGTTACAATTCCCATCATGCTCAAACATACTAAAACAACTTTTTCAATACTTGTTACACCAACATTCTAGAGGAAGAGGGTTTTATTTGTAAATTATATAAATAAAAAAGTAATCGTATTATTTTATAAACAAAAGATATTTCGATATTTATTTAGTAAAAGATAGTCATTATTTTGAAGTGTATTTGTTTGAAGTAACTCTGAAAATATGATAATAAATTTAGCAAGTAAAGTGTTATTTTATGTGTTGCATGAAAAAAGTATTCTGGTTATTTGTAGATCGTTACCCTGAACACTGTGAATTGGTATGTTTAAGACAAACCTCTCACATCCTTAAAGTGAATGCTTTGTATTTAAAGCACATATTAGTTTTATTCTGCCCAAGCTAAAATGTTAAGCAGGATAATTTAATTTGGCTTCCTCAAGGCACTGATTAATAAAATATGTGCTTTAGGATTTTTTTTTTACTGCAGTTAAAATCTTATTAGATCCCATGCTCAGTGCTAATCCGTCCTCTCTCTCTCTATCTCTATCTCTCTATCTCTATCTCTCTATCTCTCTATCTCTCTATCTCTCTATCTCTCTATCTATCTCTATCTCTATCTCTATCTCTATCTCTATCTCTATCTCTCTCTCTCTCTCTCTCTCTCTCTCTCTCTCTCTCTCTCTCTCTCTCTCTCTCTCTCTCTCTCTCTCTCTCTCTCTCTCTCTCTCTCTCTCTCTCTCTCTCTCTCTCTCCAGAATCTAGTGACATTCCATAATCTGGGAGCTCTTGTGGGGCGTCTGGCCCCACGGTGCACAGACCCAAACCCTGAGGTGCGGCGGGCAGCCATAGACTGCGTCTATAGTCTAATGTACATTCAGCTGCGCTATGAAGGTACTGCACGTTTTTTTTTATAGCAAAACTCCGTTTTGTCTGACCCAGGGCGGGCTTCAGATTGACAGTGTGTCAATATGAACTTGTTTACACTGTTATCTTGTTCTGGAAATACTTAGAAAAGTATCTTGCCTCTTCCATTTTCCTCTGTTTGACAGGCTTTTCACTGGACTACAAAGACGATTCAGTTGAGGGTCTTTTAGATGTTCGTGAGAAGCTAAGCAATCCTGACCATTCAGTCTTGTACCAAACCTGCTCTGAGCTGACTAAGGTGAATTGCCTGAATGTAATGTTCTCCTGAAGCACTGATGCTTTTTCTCACTCATGTGTCTTGTGTTTTAGATCATCAGTAAGCGTTTGCCCCAGCAGCAGTTGAGCACCCTGTTGTTTATGCTGTTTGATGGTTTGGTGGACTCTCAGTCCAACTGTTCCAGAGCATCCAGTGTGATCCTCAACACCTTGCTGAAGAACAGAGGTGCTGGCCTGCAGGATCTGGTACATTACACTTTCATTAGATTGTGGGAAATACATTTTTTTTCTTTTAGTGCCGGCAAATGTTACATGATCAGTATATATTGGACATGGAGATTTATAGACAAGCAAACTGATATAATAAATGTCATCTCGATGTATCATCCTATTTATTTGAATGGACTGGTTTGTTGTAAACTGACAATTTATATAAATAATTTGTTTTAAAAAACCTTCACTAATTGATTTTTAATATTTATTGTAGTAATATATGTAGTTTATACAGCTACAAGTGTTTGAATGCAATAAAATGCATGTTATGCAATTTATGTCATTATTGAACTCTCCAGCTAAATCATTCAGACTGGTTTTTGAACCAAACCAGCGAATTCATTGAAATATTGAAACTTAAAGAACAATTAATTCTCAAATTGGACAAAACTTTTATCATGCCCTTGGCAAAAGGCAATAGAGTGGATTTTTTGTGAATAAAAAATTAAATTTCAGTCTGTAGATTAGCTGCTTGAAATGATTAGTAAATGGTAACAGCAAATTAGTTGAAAAGTATTTTTTATAACACTCCCAAAATTCACTTCTTTGTCAGGTGCCAGAGATGTTGGAGGTGTTGCACAACCGGCTGCAGGTGATTGGTGAAGAGCAGGTGAAGGTGGCTATCGGTCAGTCCATCCTCATCCTCGCTACACAGCACCTTCAGACAGTGGTCAACACGCTCGTCGCCTACCCACTACCATACGACAGGTGATTATTGTGCGTGTTGTTTATGTGCATGGCATTCATTGTCTGGCATGTGCTCCATGATGCTCAAGCATAATAATGATGTGCTTGATGTGTGTGTGTGTGTGTCATTGTGTGTTTTCTCCAGCTGGAGCTGTGAGATGTGGATGGCTCTAGGAGCAGACAGCACTTTGGCCCTGCAAATCATGGAGATGATTATCGAGAAGCTCAGTGTTATGGTTCCCTGTGTAGATAAGAAGGAGTCCATGTTAAGACCTGGTTTGACCAAAGTTGCCACAAGCCAACCATTGGCTGTAAGTTTTAATATATGTAGGATTTGTGTCATTTGGCTTTTAAAACACATAATGCCTCATCCTAACTAGACATAATCTGTCAATTATGCAGAATCAAGTAATGTTTATGTATTTACTGAAAGAGAAATGCTGCATGAAGCAACAAAATCACAACAAAGCAAACAAAATCCTTGTGAAGCAGGATGTAGCGATTTTACTGTGAGCTTCATACTTCCCGTCCTGACATGTCAAGTGTTTGGCAATGTTATTCACAGTCATTGCTTGTTGAAACAAATACTAGTGGATGCAATTAATAGCTTGATTCTTTAATGTTGCATTAGTTAGGAAATGATGTTAAACTGTTAAACCTCTTTTATTCCTGTTATTTATTAAATGGCGTTCACTACCATTGAAAAGTTTGGTGTCAGTGAATTTAAAAAATATATATTTTTGAACATCTTTTTTGCTCACCAAGACTGTATTTATTTGAACAAATAGACATTAAAAGAGTAATATTGTGGAATATTACAATTTAACAACTTTTTTCTATTTTGATATATTTTAAAATGTAATTTATTCCTGTGATGGCAAAGTTGAAACAATTGTACTGCTTAATATTTTTGTGGCGACTACTTTTAAAAAAAAAATCTTTGATGAATATAAAATTTAAAAGAACAGGTTTTATTTGAAATATAAATCTTTTGTAATCCTTATAAATTTCTTTATTTTCACTTTTGATCAATTTAATCCATCCTTGCTGAATAAAGGAATTAATTTCTTTAAAAACAAAAGCTACCCTAAAACTTTTAAATGGTAGTCTGTTTGTAAGTGCAGTGTCCTGTTTGATAATTAATAGTTATTGATTTTTATTCCATATTTTCTAGATGACATGTGCCCTTCGTGAGATGATGCTGAATGGTCAGTCAGCTGACGCCGTGGCGTATCTGTTTCCAAAGCTCTTCAGCGCTCTGCTTTTGCGTTTGGGTTCTAGCGTGGGAGTTCAGCTACCTAAAGATCTCAACAGCAACAGCATCATTTCAGACCGCAAAACAACCAACAAAAACAATGTTGCTTATTTTGATGTGTGCGGGTGAGTGGCATAAATATGTAATTTTGTGCTATTGTGCTTATTCAGAGTTACACTGAACACAGTGGTACTCAAACTTTTTGACTCTGTTGTAATTGTGAGAAAGCTACTTGTTTTTAATCTTTTTGTGTATTTACAGAAACTTGGAATATTGATATATACCAAATTAACTATGATTCCAGAAATTTCAAGAACTTGCAGTTCTTGATTTTATGTGTTTCTTTTTAAAATAATTTAAATAGAGATTGGAGGGTTTTTTCAGTATTTTAATGTCAATGATAATTTATTCATTAATATATTTAACTCTTAATTAAGATCACTCCCTCAGCCTCGCAGCAGCGTTATTATTATTATTATTTTTGTCATTTACTACCAAAGCAATATAACACAAAGTATAGTGTTACAAGTGTATAATTATTTTTTTTTTTTTATGAAAATATGAAAAACTTCACTAGATTTGCGATGTTGATAACTGTGGAAACACATTATCACAGTCCGTGAAAAGGGTCCGTATTTGTTTAATGTGAGAAGAAAGAGACCATGGAGTACTATGAGTTCAGAGGTTAGGAAAATGGTTGTTAGTTTTTATTTGTCAAATATACATTTTAGCGGTCCGTATACAAAAAAAAGTAGCTTTTTGCCAATTTGAAGAATAAAATAGCACCATGTAAAAATGCAAAAAAAATTCACCAAATAGATGTGCTTATTTGTTGTTTAGCTTAGCAACATGCTGTCTAAAAAGGGGTTTCAAATCAATCGCTTAGGAGGTTTCATTTTGGGTCGGATGGTGAATTTGAAGGTAACTGCTCATGCAGATAAGGAAGCTCAGGATTTGACATCTGTGTTTCTCTTTGCTGTGTGTGTTCAGGGTGGCAGTGGAGGCCCTGCGGATCCTGCTGGCTCGAGCTCAGCTGGACGCTGTCGTGAAACCATTAGATCAGGAGGGAGCTTGGGACAAGATGAAGGACCCGCAGCAGCACACAACAGGAGTCACTCTGCTCTCCAGGTGCACACACCTGTCCTCCGTCATACACCAGTTCTCGTGGACTGTTTGTTGTTTGCAGACTTTTCTGCTTTGTTCTGCTATGTTAAAGGAGATGTGTATAACCATAGAACTGTTCTTGAAGACACAGGATGTGTTCAATTACAACATTTTGAGAGTGCTACACGTCGATTTCAAGCTGTTGTCTCGTGCTATATTTTTGTGGAAATTGTCAAGTTCAGAGTAATAAATAATTGTTTGAATTAACATGATTTTTTTCTGTCTCATTGTGGTAAGATTAAATGTGGTCTTCTGCAATACTAGATTTTCAAAAAGTTATTCTTTCTATCAGAGCAATGGCAAAGCATGCTGGTCCAAGACTCCCTGCAATTGTGGAGAGTCTGTGTCCTTCTCTCTGTAATATTTACGAGTGCCAGAGGATCACAGTCACAGCCTTCTTCTCTGAGGTGAGAACATTTAGATTTATGTGATTTTTAAGTTTTTTAACAAGCCTAGTAAAAATGAATAGCTAAAGACTAATTATTTTACAAAAGCACAGATATTTCAGTGTTTTTTTTTAACAGTAGTTTATTTTATACTACTGTTTGAAAGTTTGGGGTCAGTATAACTTTTTATATATATATATATATATATATAATTTAATACTTATATTCAGCAAGGATGCATTAAATTGATCAAAAGTCACAGGAAATGACATTGTTACAAAATATTTTTGTTTCAAATCAGTGCTTTCTTTTCATCAATGAATCCTTAAAAATATATCATAGTTTCCACAAAATTATATTAAGTAGCACAACTGTTTTCAATATTAATAATAATATTTACTGGCTCATATTGCATTCGATACACTTTGGCCTGTTCTTGTATTCACCCCTTTAAGTACAATACGACTTAAATTGACTAGCGTTTCATGAACAAAAAAATACTAAGTGCAATGTTTTATATGATATTTTCAGATGTTTCTAGATTCAAATGTCAAGATTTATTTGTTTACTCCTTCTAGCTGCTGAACCACCACGTAGTGACTGAACTGATGATTTTGGACATGTTGATGAACAACATGATGGAAAGAATTACTGACACCTGCGGTACTGTCCGCATGCTGGCTGTCCGAGGCCTGGGGAACATTGCTGTGGGCTCACCTGAGAAGGTACAGAAGCTCTGCTTGACATCTATGAAAATTCTAATTGATTTTTTAGGCAATGTTTCTTGGCAACAGTGTGAGATACATGGCAACTTGTTTATGCAACAATCAGTAAGGAAACATGCATAAAATTGTCTGTAATCAAAAAATTTTACCTAACAACTGCTGCCAAAAAGTTCCCCCTGTTCCCCACACCCTCCATTGTTCTGCTCTGATTTTTTTCTTCTCTCTGTAGTCAAATGAAGTTATGTCATTATTTTCAAAAGCTTGGAAACAAAATCAGTCAGTTAAAGGTGCTCTACGTAACGTTTAGCGGCCTCTAGTGGTGATGTTTCAGATTGCAACCAAATTTTACAAGAGCGCTCGTGCTCGAACTCATAGACAATACCGTCTATTACGCAAATATCTCTGCGAATACTTGACGGATTCGGCGAGCACCGAGGCTCGTTGGGACCATCTAGTCGAGCTGAAAAGAACCATATAAGTTCCATAGTTTTTGGTGGTGTTTTCGCGGAGATATTAGCAGAAAACCATCGGGCGCGCTGCAAAATTGCGGACGCCGGTGACGTCACGATCTCAGAAGAAAATCGCTCGTATCTCTGGAACGCAAAGACCCAGAGAGCTCAAATTCAGGGGAGGAGGTCCCAGGGGAACCCTTGCCCGAACGCTAGAGTGGCGGGCCTCGGGGATGCCCCCTACCGGATCGCCGTTCGCTGGGACCCCCGATTTCAAACGGCTATAACTCGGGGAGCCGGGCGAGTTGGACCTCGGGGGTGGGCTCGTTCGAAAGGCCCCGTCCAGCACTACGAACGATTAGAGTCTTGGGAATATTGATCAAAGATTGACTGAGATATAAGCCGAAAAACGTGCGCCTTTAACCGGACGTAACTCCCTGACTGTCTACAATAGACTGTATATAAGGAGAGAGGCTCGGGAGCGCGCATGCACGTCACATCCGTTGGATTTCGCGGTAAATCCGACCCGGAGACTTCACATAGAAATCGGAATACTGGCCTTCAGAGGTAAAAGCAAAACTCGACAAGTGGATCATTTTAATGTGTGATTACAACCCCTTCACACACAGGCAATAAAAAAAGGATTAATTTTAGTAGAAAAGTTACATAGAGCACCTTTAAGTGTGTAATTATACATTGCTAAACTTTGCTGTGTTTTTTTTCTCATTCAGGTGAATAAGTATGCAAAGGAGCTTTTAGCAGCCATGAGTTCAGGAATGGAAGAGAAGGATGATCCAGGGAAACTCATCACACTGGAGGCCATGTCAGGAATGTCCAAGATATTGCTTTACCTGGATCAAAAGAATGTCCAACTGCTTGTGGTTTACATCTTCATGAAGATAAAACCCTTTCTGGAGAATGTGAGTGTTGAGAGAAGGCACAGAATATGTAAATCACAATTATGAAGCTGTAAACATTTTATTTATTCTAATTTTAAAAAAAAATCAGTTTGATTACTGTTAAAACAATTTCTTTGGTGTCTCATTACTTTTTTTTAAAGCATAAGTCCAATGTTTCCACAACTATTTATGTTACATAAAACAATTACCAAAAATATTTTTGCGGGTGTTCCACATTTGGAAACTTTTCTACTGCATGGCAGGAAAATAATAAAAATAATTTAATTAATAAATAAATAATAATAATAAAAAATACTATTTAAAACATTGTTGAGCTCTTGCACACAAATTTTAGGTTAACACAAATGATGGTTTCGACTGCATACTGTTCCCATACTGTACCCATCCTGGCATAGTTTTGTAATTTTTAAAAGAAAAATTTATACATTTTGTCTATTTAAATATCAGCTTTAAACTGTATGTACACATGTCCTTGATTTGGTAACATGGTTGCACAAGTTTCAAACAATTAAATAAAAAGAAAATAAATATTAACTTTTGTTTGACTTTCTAAATGACAATCAACATTTTCTAAAGGGTTAACACCTATTTTGACTGACCATTTTCTTGAGAAAACCTTGGTACAAATAGGTCCTAAAACATTTGACTTTTCTCAAGTAAATTCTTGGTTATTCTTGGTGAGTATAGTGTTTTGGTAGTGGATTTTGTTGTTTAGGCTTTACTCGAAAGATCTTTTGTCATGTTCTGTCAGGAGAACGATGAGATCCGATGTGCTTCCATCATGCTCCTGGGAAACCTGTCAAAGTTCGGCTCAGGTGAGCCCATCTTTAAAGACCAGATCCACAATGTTCTGGTCAGCTTGTTGTTGCACCTCAATGATCCCAACCCTCAAGTGGTCAAGGTCAGTGTCTGCACACACTCCTACAATGATTGCTTTTGTTATAAAGGGTATAAATATTGAAATTTAGTTAAAAAGGATTATGCAAAAACCAGAAGTCTTTCAAGAATAATAATGGAAATATTGCATGTTTGTGTTTATGTGTGTGTCTTTGTTCCCCTAGGCATGCAAATATGCCATGCGCGTGTGTGCTCCAGTCGTAGGTTCAGAACAGATCTCTGCCATGTTCCAGAATCATCTTCTTGAGGAGAAGGGTTTGCACTATGGAGAGTTCATTAATGACCTCACCAAATACCTAGTATGGCAAGAACCAAAACTTAATTATAAGTACACGCATAGAATAACTGCACAGTACATTCTGTTCATCTCTCTCTGCATGCTGATGAGTTGACTGATTCCCTTTTATAGATTACTGTTATTATAATCACTGTGCTATGCTACATTTGCATGTATCTTTGTATTCTTCTTTGATATACTTAATGTTTTTAATGTTGTCAGCAGTTTTAGTTTATAATACGGGGACTAAAGTCCAGTTCACACTGAGAGCAATAACTATAACGATAACTATATTAGCGTCCACACCAACACACAATATCGTTCTGTTTATTACAAGCATGTGCTGCATTTTGGTTGTCTGCTGCTTTAAATGCTCAAGCTTTTTAAAGCAGAATGGATTCTGTTTGGCTTTTAATGTTTTTTATCATTCATCAGCTGGATTTCTTTTTTTTTTTTTTGTTGTTGTTGTTGCTAACATTGTGAAAGTGATTCAAATGATATTGTTCCTCTGTGCCATTATTGTTATAGTTGAGGCGGGGACTCTGCTATCCTTTTAAATTTAGAACGTTTTTTTTTTATCAAAACTATATTTATCGTTAAAGTTATTGTCCTTGGTGTGAACGGGCCTGAACAGATTATTACTGATTGTTACTGATAATTTTGTCCCAAAAAAACCCCAATCATAATGTGTGTTCGCAAAGATCCAGGATTTCCCAGGCATGCTGAACTTCTACCACATCACAGTCATTCAGTTCTTCAAGAGTAACTGGTCTGAGATCAGAGCCGGTGCTGCCATGTTCATTGGTAACAACTTTTTTTTATTATTATTTCAGTGTTTAGTATTGCAAATATTTATGCTTCATTGAATAGTTGTTTTTAACTTTTAATATTGCAATACAATATTTAAAATAACTTTCTAGTATTTATATATTTTTTTCTACTATTATTTTGTGATGGTTTTGTAACCGTGTTTTGTGAATTTTTAGGGTTTTTGCTTGGAAACCTTCATGATGAGCATTTCTCCCATATGAATATGGGGTCCGTGACCAAGGGTAAGTACAGCAGTTCTATAATAATATCTGCAGTCAAGAGATATATTTAAGGAAGGACAGCACATCCTTGTTATTGTGCTACATTTGCTGTTTCTTGGCACCTAAGGAATCTATTATTTTTGCTTCTTTTTTAATGATGATTTTGTCTGGTAGTGCATTTTAGAATGTATTGCTGTTGAAACTCTTAAAAACAGTAAATGGTTGGTTATCACCTGACTTGTATGTTCAATTAAACAAAATTTTCTTTGATTAATTGACTAAGTTATATTTCCCTTGTATGTTTTCCTCTCTCCAGGTCTGGTGATGCTGCTGCAGGATCCAGATCCTCTCGTGCGGGTCAAAGCCGCTGAAGCCATGGGTCATTTTCACTGACGTTACCTCAACTCTACAGCCAATCAGATTGGTCTTTGATTTTAAGTTTGTTGCTTTGAATTGTTGTTCTAAAGGTTTTTTATTTTTGACCAAAGACTGTTCACTAGTTCTGTAAGAAAAGAGACGAATAAAAAAAAAAGACATGTATTGACGTTACAGCACTTTTACTGCAAGTACTCTCAGATATACGGTGTGTGTGTGTGTGTGTGTGATCCCTAGAGTGGGGTTTTTCACCTGCGGTGGTTTTTAATGTAAGGTATGTACTTGCAAGCCCTTTACAAATGAGATTTACTGAAGTTTGAATGCAAGTACACTAATATTGCTGGTATTACTTGCTTGACCATTCCTGTAGCGTGCTAAACGCATATCAACACTTCATTAAAGGGGTCATGAATTGACATGTAAGAGGTCACTGTACAATAAAAAGCATTCTAAACGTTTCAGAACTTAAAACTTTCTTGTTAGTCCAAAAACATCTTTTATTGAAACCAAGCTCTGAAAATGACTCATTTCAGATTTTGTCACATTTATGACATAATAGTGCAACTAAAGACCGCCTCTGCAGAATCAGATCGATGCCTACTTCTACATCATCAAATCTTTGGCCACGCCCACTGGCGCGTTAGTGAGATGAGAAGAGCGATAAATGATTATCACTAGACTAAAAATAGCATTACCTTCCAAAGCATCCTAATGATAGGAAAGTAAGTACATTTCACTGTGGATTCTTTGGTAAATCAGTCGCAATTTTGGCGCAAGCTTTGAAAACAGACAGTAATGCCCCAACATGTAAGTAACAGGGTTAATTCTATTGCCTGATCCGCAATCAGTGATTTCTGATATGTAATGATTTATGTTCAGTCAGATGTTCTTTGTCTCAAAATCGTTTATTTCTGTTTATGCGTCAGTAAATCAAGCCAATGAATAAACGGTCAACTTCACATCGTTTTCTTAGTAGCACAAACATAATCTGTTATTTAAATTGTGATAATTATATACAGAAAGCACTGGAGCTGTCAATCACACAGCGCAAATTTATCAGTTAATGAGTTCTAGACTCCCGCCAAAACTCCCATTATAATTTATGACGCTTTCTACACTGCACAATGAATCTCTTATTTACATCTTGTTTGCACTGTTAGTTATGATGAAGTAGAGTAGAGATCTAAAAATAATGTGTAGAGAGTAGATCTAAAAATAGATCTAATGCTATTTTCATGATAAGTTAATCTCGATAGCTGTAATAGTAAAAACTTAGTAAAAGTTTTCGAGAGATTTACACCATCAATACTTATTTCATATGCGAAGATGAAAGCCAATCATAGCAGTGGGCGTGTACATCTCACAGCAGACACGCCCCTTAAAACTAGAGGGACTCAAATTCGAGGGCTAAAACCAGGGAAGAAAATTGGCTTTTATTTCTAAATTGTGACAATTTTTGATTTAAAAGTCACACTAACGTTATAAGTGCACCTCAGGAAACATAAAATAAAAAAGTTCATGACCCCTTTAAATCATTAAAAATGTATGTAGGATGAATCAATATATTAGAAACTACAATCAACACTGTTTTTCGGGTAATGGAATCTGATGTACTGCTCAGTTTGAGTTTAATCCTCTAAAAATGTTATAAGTAGACTGTTGAGTCATATTGGCCACCCTATACCTTTAGCAATAAATCACCCTAATAGGGATGTGCATTAGCATAATCTGCTTAGCCATTAACTGCAACTAAAATCTCCTGTTGTCCTCAATCAAGAAAGATAAGCATTATAGTGTTTTTGCTGTGACATCTGTGGTTTCCATGGTGGAACAAACACAATTGTGATTCTCATCCAAGTCGGAAAAGTAGACAATAACAGCTAAAACATAGATTTGTAGGTTGAATTTATTAAATGATTTCTGACGTGTTTCATAGCGTCTGTGTAGCTGAAACACCAGTGCCAGCCTTTCTGTGGCACTTGTCTTGTTCCGTTTTGTAAGTTCCGTTATATCTGTGAAGTTAATGATAATTCACAAGTGTGGCCACTGTTTCAGAGTTTGAGCATGTAGAGTATTGAATGAATTAAATTGATTATTTTATCTTAATAAACAGTGATGATGGTATGGTACATCCGCTATTTTTACAAGTTTGGTACCTACTGTACAGTGTCCTCAAGAAGTAGTTGGACATACTATGAGATACTATATAAACACAGACTCGTAAATTAAACTTTTGATGTAGTGGGTCTATTTCAATGTAAATGGCCTAATGTCTTTATTCCTTTAACTGATTAATATTTAATGAATGTAGGCATTAATGAATTAGGGAACAAACACTTTGTAAACTGCATTAGTGTGATTCTCAGTCTCACAAGAGCCACGCATTAATTGCAAGCATTATACAGTCTTAGTTAAAGTCAAATATCTTTAGATATTGTCTTAGTATATACACTACCATACAGGTTTGGGGTCCTTATTTTTTATTTGTTTTATTTTTTGAGACGTGAATACATTATTCTGGAAGCATGCATTAAATTGAAAGACAATTGAAATATTTCCATTTCAAATAAATGCTGTTCTTTTGCACTTTCTATTCATCAAAGAATCTTGAAAAATAAATCACATTTCCACAAAACAATATTAATCAGCACAACTGTTTTCAAGCATCGATAATAAGGAATGTTTCTTAAAGGGTTAGTTTACCCAAAAATGAAAATTCTTTCATTAATTGCTCACCTTCATACCGTTCTAAAACCGTAAGACTTTCGTTCATCTTCGGAACACAAATGAAGATCTTTTTGATGAAATCTGAGAGCTTTCTGTCCCTCCATTGACAGCTACACAACTACCACTTTGACACAAAAAAGTTCTTAAAGAGATTTTAAAACTAATCCATATGAATTGAGTGGTTTAGTCAAAATTGTCTGAAGAGACACGATCACTTTATATGATGAACAGATTGAATTTAGGCTTCTATACTCACATATAAACATTAATCCTATGGTTTTTTGGGGATTTTCATTTTTGGGTGAACTATCCTTTTAAGCATAAATTAAATCAGCATATTAATGATTTCTCAAGGATCATGTGACACTGAATGTAATGATGCGGAAAATTCAGCTTTGCATCACAGGAATAAATTACATTTTAAAATATATTACAATATAAAACATTTACTGTAATTAGTAAACATATTTCAAAATATTGGTTTTACTGTATTTTGATCAAATAAATGCAGTTTTGGCAAGCATAAGATACTTCTAACAAATTATTATTATTTTTAATCTTATACTGACCCCAAACTTTTGAACTGCCTGTCTATTCTTTTCTGCAAAACAGTGGATCCGGTTTGGCACTATGAAGAAGAGCTGAAGCTCTGGGTGTCACGCTGTGGTGAAGGAGGAAGACAAGGCAGGCAGAGGATCCAATATAAACTTCTTTACTTAAGTGAATATGTAGGATACAAACAGGCAGGTGTCACTCACTACAATATAACCGTACATAGACGAGAACCGACAAAGGAAGACTGAACAGGAGGAACTAAATACACACACTGATGAACAGAAACAGGTGACACAAATGATGATAATTACAATGCACAGGTGACAACAATGAAGACAAGCAGGTGTGTAGACAAGAGGGATGCTGGGAAGTGTAGTGAAGAGGCGGAGACAAGACAGACTGTGACATTACACCCCCCCTCCGGAAAGCGCGACCTCGCGCTGCAGAGGAACCAAGGCGGAGTAGATGGAGGGAGGAGCCAAGGCGGAGCAGATGGAGGGAGGAGCCAAGGCGGAGCAGATGGAGGGAGGAGCCAAGGCGGAGCAGATGGAGGGAGGAGCCAAGGCGGAGCAGATGGAGGGAGGAGCCAAGGCGGAGCAGATGGAGGGAGGAGCCAAGGCGGAGCAGATGGAGGGAGGAGCCAAGGCGGAGCAGATGGAGGGAGGAGGCAAGGCGGAGGCGGGGCTGACGACACCAGGGGGCCGACTGACAGGGGCGGAGCAGGTGAGAGAGGAGACCAGGGTGAAGCCGTAGAGCCGACGAGACAGGGTGATGCTGAGGGACTGGAGGGACATGGTGAGACCGTAGGCTCCGGCGACTGAAGGGTAGACAGGGACACAGAAGGACACGGTGGAGACAGAGGGAGTGAGGACCAAAGGGAAACTGAGGGGAGTGAGGAGTCCAACAGAACCGGGGGGACGAAAGGACGAGGCGTAGCCAGAGGAGAGAAGTCCAAAGGTGAGGGAAGGCCGACGAGGGACCAAAGTGGATCCGGGGGGACGAGGGAGCCTGGCGGAACTGGGGGACTGAGGGGCCATGGTGGAGCTGAGGGAGGTAAGAGCCAAGGGGGAGCAGATGGGACGAAGGGCCGAGGTAGAGTCCTGGTTGAGGAGGTTGGAGGCGGAGGCCAGGGATCCACCGACCAGGCTAGATCAGCAGGGCTGGTAGTCAGGGGTGGACGGGTTGAAAGGTGGCAGATGAAGGGAGGTGGGAGAGGGAGGCTGGGTGGGAATACAGTCTCTGGCAGGGCGGACGGGACCAGCGGTGAGGGCTCGGCAGGGCTGGACGGGACCAGCGGGGAAGAAGTCTCTGGCAGGACGGCGGTCTCTGGCTGGACGGCGGTCTCTGGCTGGACGGCGGTCTCTGGCTGGACGGCGGTCTCTGGCTGGACGGCGGTCTCTGGCTGGACGGCGGTCTCTGGCTGGACGGCGGTCTCTGGCCGGACGGCGGTCTCTGGCCGGACGGCGGTCTCTGGCCGGACGGCGGTCTCTGCTGGGCTGGACGGGACCAGCGGCGAAGGCTTGACTGGGCTGGGCGGAACCAGCGGTGAGGGCTTGGTGCTGGACGGAACCAGCGGTGAGGGCTTGGTGCTGGACGGAACCAGCGGTGAGGGCTTGGTGCTGGACAGAACCAGCGGTGAGGGCTTGGTGCTGGACGGAACCAGCGTTGAGGGCTTGGTGCTGGACGGAACCAGCGGTGAGGGCTTGGTGCTGGACGGAACCAGCGGTGAGGGCTCTGAAGGGCTGGACGGGACCAGCGGAGAAGGCTCTGAAGGGCTGGACGGGACCAGCGGTGAAGGCTCGGCTGGGCTGGTGGTCATGACATGCCATGGGAGGAAGCTCTCCAGGCATCGGGAGAGTGCCTCTCTCCAGTCTAGGCCGGAGATGTCTGGGAGCTCCCTCGGGTCCACGGTCTTCGCCCCCAGCCGATAACATGCCATGATGGCCCTGTCGTCCAGAGGGCTGGAGGCAGCCAGTGGAACAAACCTCCAGGTGAATGTGAACAGATCGCGGCTATCCAAAGCCAGTGCCGCGATCTGCCCGGCCAGCTCCCAGCTCATTTAGTTAGGTCGGTTCTTCTGCCACGCTGTGGTGAAGGAGGAAGACAAGGCAGGCAGAGGATCCAATATAAACTTCTTTACTTAAGTGAATATGTAGGATACAAACAGGCAGGTGTCACTCACTACAATATAACCGTACATAGACGAGAACCGACAAAGGAAGACTGAACAGGAGGAACTAAATACACACACTGATGAACAGAAACAGGTGACACAAATGATGATAATTACAATGCACAGGTGACAACAATGAAGACAAGCAGGTGTGTAGACAAGAGGGATGCTGGGAAGTGTAGTGAAGAGGCGGAGACAAGACAGACTGTGACACTGGGTGTGGAGAGAGAGAAAAAAATATTACAACTCATTAGTTGCTCAGTGTGTTGAATATGCATTAGCAAAAGTCAATCAAATTAAAGTACTACGAACAATTAATCTAAACGCTTTAGAATGTAGCAATTAGTGGCAGTTATTCCTGGTCAGGAATCTCATGTGGTAATGACACTGGGATTCATTCTTGGAGAAGTCACTGAAATTGTGTTTGTTTCTGGGATGGATTTCAGAGCAATCAAACTCACTGAAAGTTTCACAGTTCTGCTGGTCAATCATGGTATCTGGTGTTAGGCATATGTTTGCATCTTCACATCAATTTGTTTATATGTCTGTTGTTTTATTTTTTGACAGAATTGTTTTGTATCATGTAAATCTGATCTCTAGATGATGGAGATGACAATATGTAGAACTGAATAAAAGTTATTAGGCTATACATGACAACCCAGACCTCAACTGTCATGTTCGTTTAATTGATGAAGAGTGCTGGAATTTTTATTTATAAGTTCACGAACTTCACACACGTCCTTTTTTTGCACAACTTGCTGACCTCAAAATTGCGAACGGTAGTGTGTATAAGCTACAAAGTTTTTCGTAAAACATTAGACGAAATCCTTCCAGTCTGGTTGGTACATCCATATTTGAGCTAAAGGAAGTGGTCTGATATTTCATGGTGGCCTTAGACACCCTTAGTACCTTGGAGAACCATGATATTCATTCAGTAAAATGTTATAGGCATATGTCAAAGGATCCTGATATTACCATCTGATTCCATCGAGCATGGTACCGCGACAGCACTTTTCTGTACTGGAACCTTTTACTGTCTATGACTAGAACGCACTAGGCCTACTGTGTGTCTATTTCACTTCCAGATGTAGCCACAAGAGGCCGCCATAATGCGAGTTAAAGAAGCCCCTTGACACTTCCAGCATTAAAAGCTGACTAACAACATAAATGACGAGCCTAACCGAATGAGACTGCTCATCCAACAATAATTCTACTGGACCAAAAGGTCAAAGCCACCTTGATTAGATTCTGATTTTCAAAATCACATTACATTTGCAGGCAAATAGAAAGGCCTTTTAATCCTTAATGAAGGTGTTTGAAAGATTAGAGGCAGGACTACATGAGATTGTGACT